TTAATAACTAGAATCAACAAATGGGACTTACTCAAACTAAAAAGTTTTTTCTCAGCAAAAGAAACAATAAGAGAGGTAAATAGGGAGCCTACACCCTGCGAACAAATCTTTACTCCTCACACTTCAGATAGAGCCCTAATATCCAGAGTATACAAAGAACTCAAAAAATTAGACAATAAGAGAACAAACAACCCAATCAACAAATGGGCCAAGGACCTGAACAGACACTTCTCAGAGGAGGACATACAGTCAATCAACAAGTACATGAAAAAATGCTCACCATCTCTAGCTGTCAGAGAAATGCAAATCAAAACCACCCTAAGATACCATCTCACTCCAGTAAGATTGGCAGCCATTAGGAAGTCAAACAACAACAAGTGCTGGAGAGGATGTGGGGAAAAAGGTACACTTGTACATTGCTGGTGGGACTGCAGATTGGTGCAGCCAATTTGGAAAGCAGTATGGAGATTTCTTGGAAAGCTCGGAATGGAGCCACCATTTGACCCAGCTATTCCCCTTCTTGGTCTATTCCCTAAAGACCTAAAAAGAGCATGCTACAGGGACACTGCTACATCGATGTTCATAGCAGCACAGTTCACAATAGCAAGACTGTGGAACCAACCTAGATGCCCTTCAATAGACGAATGGATAAAAAAAATGTGGCATTTATACACAGTGGAGTATTACTCTGCATTAAAAAATGACAAAATCATAGAATTTACAGGGAAATAGATGGCATTAGAGCAGATTATGCTAAGTGAAGCTAGCCAATCCCTAAAAAACAAATGCCAAATGTCTTCTTTGATATAAGGAGAGTAACTAAGATCAGAGTAGGGACGAAGAGCAGGAGAAGAAGATTAACATTTAACAGGGATGAGAGGTGGGAGGGAAAGGGAGAGAGAAGGGAAATTGCATGGTAATGGAAGGAGACCCTCAGGGTTATACAGTGGAGGGGGTAGAGAGAGTGGAGGGGAGGGGAGGGGAGAGGTGGGGAGGGGGGAGGGTGGATGATGGGAAAGGCAGCGGAGCACAACAGACACTAGTATGGCAATATGTAAATCAATGGATGTGTAACTGATGTGATTCTGCAATCTGTGTATGGGGTGAAGGTGGGGAGTTCATAACCCACTTGAATCAAAGTGTGGAATATGATATGTCAAGAAATTTGTAATGTTTTGAACAACCCACAATAAAAAATTAAAAAAAATAAAAATAAAAAAAAATAAAAATAATTTTTTAGTTGTAGAGGGACACAATACCTTTATTTATTTATTTATTTTAAGAGAGAGAGAATTTTTAATATTTATTTATTTTTTGTTTTGTTTTCAGCGGACACAACATCTTTGTATGTCGAGCTGAGGATCGAACCCAGTGCCTCACACATGCCAGACGAGTGCACTACCACTGAGTCACAACCCCAGCCCATATCATTTAAGTTCTATAATAAGTCCTTCCACCTTTCTAGATTATTTTCAAACATGCTAAGTAAGTCCTCTGTATTTCCAAATATGTTTAAAATCAGCTGGCTGCTAAGTGAGGTAGCACACACCTGTAATCCCAGCAACTCAGGAAGCTAAGATAAGGGGATAGAAAGTTCAAGCCTAGCCTGGGCAACTTAGCCAGACTCTGTCTCAAAAACTAAAAAATAAAAAGGGTTAAAGATGTAGCTCAGTGGTAGAGCACCCCTGAGTTTGATCCCTAGTACCATAAAAATAGAATCAGCTTGTTAATTTCCAACCCAAAGAAGCTGGCTAGGATTATGGTTAAAATTGTATTGAATCAATAAAATTGAGTTTTGCAATGCTGAGTTCCATTTATTTAGGCCTTCTTTAATTTTTCTTAACAATGTTGCATAGTTTTCTATGCAGGGGTCTTGCACATTTTATCAAAGTATTTTATGGATTCTGATGCTATTATGGATTGAGCTATTTAATTTTCTAATTTGTTTTGTTGCTCCTACTATATAAAACACTTTTGATTTTTTTAATATTAACTTTGAACCCTATGATGTTACTAAGATCTTCATTTAATACTCTGAATCATATTTTTTTTCTTCTTTTAATCAGGTGGTTGAATCACTGTCATTATTTTTTCTCTCTCTTTTTTTTTTTCAGTACTGGGGATTAAACTCAGGGACACTCAACCACTGAACCTCATCCCCAGCTGATGTTTGTATTCAATTTAAACACAGGGTCTCACTGAGTTGTTTAGCACCTCGCCATTGCTGAGGCTGGCTTTGAACTCTTGATCCTCCTGTCTTAACCTCTTGAGCTGCTGGGATTATAAGCACGTGCCACCGTGCCCAGCCTAAACAGTTGTTTTTTACTATTGTTTTTCCTTTTTTTAAATGTATTTTTTAGTTGTAGATGGACACAATATATTTATTTTATTTATTTTTAGTGAGGCTGAGCCTCACACATGCTAGGCGAGCGCTCTCCAATGAGCCACAACCTCCGCCCCACAGCTTTGTTTTTTTTTTTTTTTAAAGAGAGAGAGAGAGAGAGAATTTTTTAATATTTATTTTTTTTAAGTTTTCGGTGGATACAACATCTTTATTTTATTTTTATGTGGTGCTGAGGATCGAACCCAGCGACCCGAGCATGCCAGGCGAGCGCGCTACCACTTGAGCCACATCCCCAGCCCACAGTTGTTGTTTTGATTTCTTAGGATTCTTCATGTATACAATTGTGCCATCTCCAAATACAGACTTTTACTTCTTCATTTTTGTATATTTTATTTATTTATTTATTTTTATTCTAATTTGTTATATTTGACAGTAGAATACATTATAATTCATATCACACATATAAAACTCAATTTTTCATATCTCTGGTTGTATATAAGTATATTCACACCATTCATGTCTTCATACAAGTACTTAAGGTCATTTTTGTATCTTTTAACTTTCCTTATTTTATTGCATTGGCTAGAATTAAAATTAAATTTCCAATTTAATGTTAAATAGATGTGGGAAGAGTGGGTATCTTTGCCTTATATCCAAGCCTATGTAGAAATTCTTCAATCAAGTATCATGAAGTTTATAATGTAGTACTTTTTCTTAGCAGATGCCTTTTATCAGGTTAAGGGAATTCCTTTTAATTTCTAGTTTGCTGAGAGTTTTTATCAGATCTGGATGTTGAATTCTGTCATATGGTATATTTATTTATTTTTTATTTTTTTGTAGTTGTAGATGGACAGAATGCCTTTATTTTATTTGTTTATTTTTATGTGGTGCTGAGGATCAAACCCAGTGCCTCATGCATGCTAGGCAAGTACTCTGCTGTTGAGCTACAGCCCCAGCCCCACATGGTATATTTATATCTATAGAGATGAACATATAATCTCTCACGTTTTCCTTTTAAAATGGTGAAATTACACAGATAAAATTTCTGAATGTTAAAAACCAAGCTTGCATTAATTAAGTATGGATAAGGCCCACTTGATCAACTTTTTTTTTTTTTATTTTTTAGTTGTAGTTGGACACAACACCTTTATTTCACTTGTTTATTTTTGTATGTGGTGCTGAGGATCGAACTAGGGTCTCACACGTGTGAGGCGAGCGCTCTACCGCTAAGCCACAAACCCAGCCCTGATCAACATTTTTATATATTGCTGAATTTGATTTGCTAATGTTTTGTTAAGAATTTTACACGTATGTACTTGAGAATATGAGTGTAAAAATTTTTTTAATAATTTCTTTGTCAAGTTGTGTTGGCCTAATAAAGTGAGTTGAGAGATGTTTCTTTTCTGAGGATATTTATATAACAATGCTGTTATTTTTTCCTTAAATATTAATAGAATATACCAGTAAAGCCATCTGGGTCTGGCATTCTCTTTGTGGAAGGAGAAAGAATTCTGACAACATAAGGTTATTTGTTTTCTTTTTTATGATGTCAGTTCTGGTAACTATTTTTCAAGGAATTTTCCATTTCACTCAAGCTATCAAACTTACTGGCATAAAGTTATTCATGGAATTATCTTCTTATTCTTTTTTTTTTTTTTTGGTAGGAGGGATTGAACCCAAGAGCACTTGACCACCGAACCACATTCCCATTTTTTTTTAAATAAAAAAAAATTTGTTTTAGTTATAGATGGACACAATTATTTTATTTATTTATTTTTATGTGGTGCTGAGGATTGAACCCAGTGAGGCAAGCGCTCTATCACTGAGCCACAACCCCAGGCCTCCCAGCTCTTTTTATATTTTATTTAGAGACAGGATCTCACTAAATTGCTTATGGCCTCATTAAGTTGTTGAAGTTGGTTTTGAACTCACAATCCTCCTGCCTCAGTCTCCTGAGCTGCTGGGATTACAGGCATGTGCTACCATGCCCAGCTCTTGGCTCTTCTTATTCTTTTAATAGCTATAAGATGTGAGTGAAAAACCCCTCTTTCATTCCTGATATTAGTAATTTATGTTCTCTAGGTGTTTATCTTTGTTGATCTTCTCAAGAAATCAACTTTTGGCTTTATTAAATTTCTATACTTTTTCCATTTTGTTGATTCCTGCCCTTATATATATTATTCTTTTGGTTCTTTTCAGTTTTTTTCCTTACTGAGAACAACTCTTCTCTTTGAAGTGAGAGAAAATAAGGGAGATTAGGAATAGTGTAATCAAGGTCAATACAAAGTTGCTTTATAAAGATCTTAATTTGCTTCAGGTCTCAAGCTTTTCCCTCACAGGCTGTGGGATTTTGAAGAGATGCCCAACAAATTCTCAAGAGTGTGCCACCAAGTCCGGTGTGGTGGCGCACGCCTGTAATCCCAGAGGCTTGAGAGGCTGAGGGAGGAGGACGTGAGTTCAAAGCCAGCCTCAGCAAAAGTGAGGCACTTAGCAACTCAGTGAGACCCTGTCTCTAAATAAAATATAAAAAAGGGCTGGGGATGTGGCTCAATGGTTAGGCGCCCCTGGGGGTGGGGGGAGAGTGTGTCGCCTGCCTAGCCAGCTTAGCTATCACCTATAATAACGATTTCTCCATAGCTGCTCAGTTCTTACTCACCAGGGCAAGATCTTTTTATTCTTTCCTTCACAACCATTCCTTCTTCATCCATTAAGGTAATCATATCTGGTTTAGAAACAGAAGATCCTGCTTAAAAGAAAAATGTCAAGTGAAATTATAAACCTAAAAGTTCTTACATTCAGATTTGGTTATATAAATTTACCGTTAACTATAAATAAAAATGGTACTCAATAATGCCTAAATGCAAACAGATGCAAGGAACATTTCTCTTGTCCTCTTTCTTTCTGAACTCCTTTGATTTTTAGGGAAACTTAGAAGCCATCTGAATATCCTCGCTGCAGAAAGATTAGAAAGGAACATGAAGCAACTATGTCAACTCTGATCTCAAATACAATGTGAAATCTGGTTTCTTGGGCAATATTCTGCCATATTCAAATTCAGCTCCTGGAATACTAAGGACACCAAGAATTAGAGTCTGAAGAAAGTGTGAAAAACACAGCAGGCTGAGAATGATTTCATGTTAAATGAAGGGGCTCATTTCCAATTTAACAAATCCTAAACCATTCTTTTTAAAAACAGACAGTAAAAAATATAGCTAGATTTTCAAAATATGTCCTGAAATAGAGAGTAAAAAAAGTTAATTTCCTTTGGGATACTCTTACCTAGTGAGAGGAAGTTGTTGTAGTTCTCCCACATTACGTCCCTATATAAGTCCCTCTGAGCAGAGTCCAGGAATTCCCATTCTTCCTGTGAAAAGTCTATGGCCACATCCCTGAATGTCACTGAACCCTGAAATATAAACTCATGGATTACTTGTGGAAATAGATTAAGTATTCTTTAAATGAAAAGAGAAAAGACTGATGATTACATGGTACAGTGAGAACTACATAGCATGTACATAGCACAAAGCTGAAAACTTATGATGTAAGTAGGGGACAGCAAGAAAATTAGCATCTCTAAAGCAGTGTCTATATGTTCTTGAATAATACTGTGGCTACAGAAAAAATTTTTATCCAAACATATCTGGAAATGAACAAATAACCAAAAAAAAAATGTCAGACTAAATTATGCATACAAATTCTAAAGAAATATGAATGAGGTCTTCTACCCTCTTATCCCTTTAATGATTATGAAAAAAAAATTGACAAAATTTCTCCCAAATGTACTTTAAAATCTCAGAAGCCTCAAGTTCACACAAAGTCAGATTTTATTAAAACCTTTTCCCATGTTCCAACCAATTCTTCAGTAAACTTTTCAAAATTTGTTACCTAGTAGTCCTCATTTTGAATATATTTGGTTCTCTTTTTAAAATTCAGATGTTTGAATTCAATGTAACCTCAAAAGTCTTCTTTTATTATCTATAACATCTAATATTTATGCATTTGAATAACCTTCTTATTCTTTACTATAAGCTCTCACTGAGCATCTTTTTTGTTCCTGAGTTACAGAATTCTGAATCATAAAGATATGGTAAAGAGAACACTACAGACTGGTGGTTTTCAACAAGGAGTGATTTTTTTTTAATATTTATTTTTTAGTTGGACACAATATCTTTATTTATTTTTATGTGGTGCTGAGGATCGAACCCAGGGCCTCCCATGTGCTAGGTGAGCACTCTACCACTGAGCCACAACCCCAGCCCCACCACAAGGAGTGATTTTGTTACCCAAAAGACATCTGGCCAGGACTGGGGTTGTGGCTCAGAGGTAGAGTGTTTTCCTAGCATGCATGAGGCATGGGTTCGATTCTCAGCAACACATAAATTAAAATAAAGACTTTGTGTTCACCTATAACTAAAAAATAAATACTTAAAAAAAAAAAGATAGGGCTGGGGTTGTGGCTCAGCGGTAGAGCGCTCGCCTCGCACAGGCAAGACCCTGGGTTTGATCCTCAGCACCACACAAAAAATAAATAAGTGAAATAAAGGTATTGTGTCCAACTACAACTAAAAAATAAATAAATAAATACACACACACACACACACACACACACACACACCTGGCCATATCTGGAGACAATTTTTTTTGTCACAACTCAGAGGAAGGGATGTGACGTTACTGACACACAGTGGGTAAATGCCAGGAATATTGTAAGACAACCTACAATACACAGAATAATCCTTTAAAATAAAGGATTCTCTTGCCTCAAAATGTCAATAGTTCCAATGTTGAAAAATTCTGATCTAGATCAGCACATCCTATGAAAATACTCAATGACTTTGTTCCTGACATTATTCTTTCCGGGAGAAACTCATCAGAAGTGATTCTTGATCTTTCTATTTGCAGCCCTGTTTCATTCACCATCCACTCACCCTAGTGATGAGAGGTGATCTACCCTAAAAAAGCACTAGATAGACAAACAAGCAGAGGCTAGACAGATGAGACTGACTCCAATTTATTATTCATATATACTCATAGTCTGAAGGAAGATGTCACACATCATAGAGGGCCACAGGGGTTACATTCAGAAATAAAGAGAACAACAGGGGCAATGGGAGGAAGCTAGGCTTTTAAAGAGGATGAGGTGTTCTCTGGTTCCATAGGAGAATGTGACTGGCTTGTCTGAATAATTCCATGGGCAGCCAGGAGGAGAAATCTGAGGACAACAAGGGGTATAACTTGTCCAGCTGATAGAGGAACTAGCTAGGAAGGAAGACTTTTCCACTGGTTAAACGGGCATATCTGGTGTGAGCAGGGCACTCATGGTTAAACCTTTGAAAACTTGACAAAGATGTCAAGACAGCACATGCATGGCTGGGGCTGGGGTGTAGCTCAGTGGTAGAGCACTTGCCTTCCATGCTCCAAGCCATGGGTTCAATCCCTAGCACTACCACCAAAAAAAGAAAAAGAAAAGAAAAGAAAAAAGAAAAAAAAGACAGTACACAACATTTTAGGTCCTACCATATAAGGTCTCAATTACATCCCTATCCAACCCATCCAATCTTAAAAGATCTCAACACATACAGAAATTGAGATCAGTCAATGTTTAAATCCTAACTTATATAACTTAAAAATTCAGCTTGGTGGAGGAGTTTAGAGTTTTTCCCATAAAAAATCAAATAGGTACAAATTCTCTCTTTCATCAAACCACAGATATTCAAGGAATATTCAAAACACTATCAATAATCCATTCCTAAAAATCAGGCATTCTAATATATTACCAGATACCTATTTTTTTCATCATTTTAAATTAGAGATTAATAATACATTATATGTTAATTTCAACCTTCCAATTAGCTTCACAAGATTTTCCTCCAACACAGAATTGTAATATACAGTGGGTCAGAGCATATATATCATTTTAGACTTTTTTACTAAATTAATTAATATTAATATTTCTCATTTGCTTTGCATCTTTCTCCACAATTTTCTTCAATCGTTTCCAATCTTTAAAAAACTAATTTTATGCTAGAAAAACACCAAGAGCTTAACATGTGCAATACACTATGAAAAAAATTTCCAACAAGGACATAATAGTAGGAATGACCCACATTTATCTGATGCTCAGGTGCCTACTTTACCACCAGCAGCACCAGATATACACATTTCCTTTAATGACACATATATATTTTTTTCTTTATTAGAGAGAGAGAGAGAGAGAGAGAGAGAGAGAGAGAGAGAATTTTTTTAATATTTACTTTTTTAGTTTTCGGCGGACACAACATCTTTGTTTGTATGTGGTGCTGAGGATAGAACCTGGGCCGCACGCATGCCAGGCGAGCGCACTACCACTTGAGCCACATCCCCAGCCCCAAGACACATATATTTTAAAACATCTATAGGTGATTCTGGTGGTCTAGCAATTACATGTGGAATACAACTAGACTCTTCCAGGACACTGTTTTTGTTTTAAAAGATTAGTATTTTAAAAAATACTAATGAACTATATGATTCCATTTATAGTTCTAAATATAAGCACAACTAATTTGTGATGTTCAAAGTCAGGATAGTGGTTATATAAGGAGTGACTGAAAGAGGGGCATCTGAGGTGCTAGTAATACTCCTTTCTTGATCTGGAACCATAAATGTACTCAATTTAAGAAAATTCATTCAGTTCAACACTTAATATTTTTATGCTTCTCTGTTTATATGCTAAATTCCATGAAACAGCCTTACTTTTTGAAAATGCCACAAACCAGGGACATAAGTTTTTCTATATAAATAGATCAAAAATCATTGTATTAAGGGAAATACATTTTTTCTGAAGTTTAAGAATTAAAATCAAAAGTCATTCCATTGGAAAATGTTAAAAGAGGGACATTCTGCAGATAAAGTCTATATTTTCTCAAGGCATTTCACTTTTGCTTTTGGCAGAAGGTTCTGAAGATGGGTGATGGTCAACACTAGTGAAGAAGGGAAGGCATGGGTGGGTTCTCTGACCCAGTCCTCTCAGGAATGAGAGAAATTGGAGCAGGTTCTTGGATGGAGTTCTGTTAAATCAGAAGATTCAGAAAAAGAAATGAATATGTACAGATGATCTAGAAATTGATCTAGAATGATCACTCTAGAAATAATATGGAAATCTGATGTTTCAAAAAGGAAAGAAAAACATTAACTTACATGGGCCATGGTTTTAGAACTGCAAGAATTGATTTAGTCCTTTTCAATATATTTCTGTTGGAGAATTCCAGAATCAAAACAAACCAGAGCTGGAAGAAGAAAAAGAAGCTATAAGACCAGACCAAATAACTTATTTTTTTTAATTACTTAACTCAAAATAATATTTATTAAAATAAAAGTGTGAACTACAAGAAAAGAAGGAACATTAATGAATGATTCACATAAACAAAAAATTAAATGCTCATTCATTGCATATATTTATAAAATATTTCATAAAACTACCTTAAAATTTAAACTTTAAATATTTATGTGGAAAGCAAGATAGTTCCAAATAACTTATTTTAATATGAACATTTTTTTCCTCTTCCATTCCAACTTCCAACAACTTCCCATACTATACCCAGACATACCCCATAGCCACACAAAACTAGAGGAGAATATGGGGAGTTTGATGAAATATAAGCCTTGAAAAAAATCCAAATGAATGATGATGGACTTGGTATAGAAGTCCAGATACTTCTACAGGAGGATTTCTGATCTCCATTCAGCAATGTGAATCTGGTCCCAAAATTGGACTAGAACTTCCTAAAGAGAAAAGACTAAAAAAATCACACAGATTGAACCTGGCAGCTGCTTCCATTATAAGACTGCACTTCCTTTCCCTAGCAAGGACAACTCATCACTCCAGTTTCCCAATCAGGACATCCGTTTAAGTATCCAGACTGGGGAGGAGAAGAATCATGATTCCTACAGTTAGCCAACATCATTTTTTCATTGAGAATCTATGTGACGGGTACTTCATAAATATTTGTAAATTAATCCTCAGTATCATGACACAATGTAGTTTTCGCCTTTTGGCATACTTTTGCTCAGAAGTCAAACCAGTCAAGTGGAAGATGTTTGTTTTGAATGCACATTCTCTAACTAAAATGCAATTCTCTTTCAACTTTGGTTTTGGGTTCTGATGGACAGGATTTCTACTTCACTCAGAGAAGTCTGAGCATGAACATTTCCCTAAAAAAAGAAAAAAGAAAGAAAGAAAGGAAAAAACCCACAAAACTTCAATTCACAAGATGGCCCAGCATGTCTCTCTAGCAATCTACAGAAACATCAATTAGAACAACTATATACAAATAAAAATACTTTCACATATGCTAGGAAACCATGAGCTAAATCACCATAATTGGTTGTAGCTCAACAATAAGAAAAGACACAATGAATAAGGCAGCAAGGATAGTTTTACATAACTTGTGTTTCCCCTTCCCCAACTCCAAGTTATATGGCACAGAGAGATATTATCCCCCTTGGGGAAAGAAAAAGAAAAAATAAGCACTGAACTATGCCTTGGAATCCAACTACAATAAAACCAGCAATGGTTTCAGGCTTACCGGGTGGACATGATCTTCAGCCTGTACCACCATCAGCACAACATCAATGGGCCTAGACTCTGCATATCCCTCAGCAGCAGGCGGACTCAGTGGCCTCTCACTTCAAGAAAGCCACAGTGCCATGACAGCCACAGCAGGCTCCAGACTTCTAATGTACCCTGGCATAGTGCTAGCACCGGTAGCCTGAAGCTTCAGATGTGGGCAATGCCGCTACAAGCATAGTAGTTTCTGGCATATCCCAACACTGGGCCAGGCACAGAAGCTCCAGGCTTCTGGCACATCCAAGCTCCATGCCCACTGTAGTGGCTGAGGCTGAGATCACAACAGACACACCAAATCTCCAGATGGGCTAACTATTGAAGGGCCATCTCTCAAGACTAGAATAAGTACCTACTTCTTCAAATGCAGACACTGACAGATGGAAATAAGAATCAAGAACAACCAAGGAAACAGGACATTACCAATGTGTCAAAATAAAGAACCAATGACTGACCCTAAAGAAATGGACATAGATGTGATGCCTAACAAAGAATTTAAATTAACTGTTTTAAGGAAGCACACCAAACTTCAAGAAAATGAAAAGAGACAAATCAACCAAGGAAACAATAATGAAACAAAGGAACAATAAGTGACCAAAAGGAGAGATTTAATACAGAGTTTGAAATGATTAAAAAGAAGAAATCCTGGAACTGAAAAATAAAATGGAGGAAATAAAATATAGAACAAAGGAGCACCAACCTGAGAACTAATCAAGCAGAAGAAAGAATCTGTGAACCCAAAGACAGGTTATTTGAAAATATATAACTACAGGATAAAGAAGAAAAATGAAAAGGAACAAAGAAAGCTTTACAGGGTTTATAGGATAACAGCAGAAGAGCAAATGTTTTAGTCAAAGAAATTAAAGGAAGAGAGAAATACGTAGAAAGCTTACTTCAAAAAGTAACAGGGATGGGGGCATAGCTCAGCAGTAGAGTATGGTCAGAAAGTGTAAGGCCCTCGGTTCAATGCCCAGTACCCCAAAAACAAAAAGAAAAAAAATGAAAGAAAGAAAGGAAAAGGAAATAGCAGAAAAACTTTCTAAACCTGAAGAAACTGTAAATACCTTAGGATAGGAAGGTCAAAATTAACCAACCAGACTCAACCCAGACAAGACTACCATAAACACTATAATCAAACTATCAAAAATGAAAGACAAAGAGAGGAGACTGAAAGCAGCAGGAAAAAAGAAGCAAATAATATATAAGGGAGTTCCAATATGGCTAGTAGCAGACTTCTCAGCAAAACCTTACATGCCAGGAGAGGATTTGATGATATATTCAAAGTGCTAAAGGAAAAAAAACCTATAAACCAATAACACTATGCTCACCATAGGTATCCCTCAGAATTGAGAGCAAGATAAAGACTTTCCCAGACAAACAAGCTCAGGGAAAGCCAAGCGCAGTGACACATGCCTGTAGTCCCAGCAGCTCAGGAGGCTGAGGCAGGAGGATGGTGAGTCAAAGCCAGCCTCAGCAACTTAGTGAAGCTCTAAGCAACTTAATGAGACCCTGCCTCTAAATAAAATACAAAAATGGCTGGGGATGGGGTTCAGTGGTTAAGCACTCCTGGGTTCAATCCCCAGTACCAAACAAAAAAGCTGAAGGAATTTATCACATCTGAAACTATAAAATTCACTGGTTAAAAAGGTCAAACTCAGAATACTCCAAAACTGTAATGGTGGTATGTAAATCATATCTTTAGCATGAAGGTTAAAAGAAAGATATTAAAATAATAAGAGCTACAATAATTTTCAGGGATATGCAGTAAAAACATTAAATTATAACATCAAAAATTCAAAATGGGAGGATCAGAGTAAAAGTGAAGATTTGAGGGATTGTTTTGTGATTAAAGGTAAGTTGTTATCAGCTTAAAATAACCTGCTGTAGGATTTTTTTTTTTAATAAGCTTCATGGTAACCACAGAAGAAGAACCTAGAGTAGATATTCAAAATATAAAAAACAAGGAATTAAAATATACCACTAGAGGAAAATGACTTAACCACAAAGGAAGCTAGCAAAAGAGAGAAATCAAGACACACAATGGATGAAGTTATTAAAAAAACAAAATGCTACTATATACTGCCTAAAGAGATTTACTTAACTTGCAAGAACCCTTATAAACTGAAAATGAAGGCATGGAAAAAGATATTTCATGAAAATGAAATAAAATAAAACAAAATAAAAAATGGCAAAAAGACAGAGAATGTCAGCATACAGTGATAAAATAGTTAATTTAGCAAGAGGATGTAACAATTATAAACATATATACAACCAACATCAGAGTACCTAAATATATAAAGCAAATATTGACAGATCTGAAGGGAGTGGAGGACTACAGTAGTGGAGGACTTCAAAATCCTGCTCTCAGAAATGGACAGGAAGAGAATCAATAAGGAAACATCTGCTTTAACCTATGCTCTAGACCAAATGGGCCTAATAGACACACGTTTGATCCTCAACACCACATTAAATAAACAAATAAAATAAAGGCATGCTGTCCATCTACAACTATAAAAAAATTTTAAAAAGAGATAACCTACAGAATGGGAGAAAATATTTGCAAACTGTACACCCAATAAGGTGTTAATATCCAATATACTAGGATCTCAAATGACTCAATAGCAAGAAAACATACAATTAAATTTTAAAATGAGCAAAGACATGAATAGACATTTCTCAAAAGAAAATATATAAATGGCCAAACAAGGGCTGGGGTTTTAGCTCAGTAGTAAAGCCCTCACCTAGCACGTGGGAGGCACTAGGCTCGATCCTCAGCACCACATAAAAATAAATGGATAAATGAAGGTATTGGTCCAACTACAGCTCGGGAGCCTGAGCAGGAGGATCACGAGTTCAAAGTCAGCCTCAGCAAAAGTGAGGCACTAAGCAACTCAGTGAGATTCCGACTCTAAATAAAATCCAAAATAGGAGCCATACCTCAATGATCGATTGCCCTTGAGTTCAATCCCTGGTACAAAAAAAAAAAAAAGAAATATATATATATATATATATATATATATATATATATATATATATATATATATATATATACACACACACACACACACACACACACACAAAGATCCTCACCTCACAAAAAAATAATAGATAAGAAGTACTGGAGAGGATGTAGAGAAAAAGAACCCTCACACTGGTGGCAAAAATAAACTGGAACATTCATTATGGAAAGCAGTATGGAGACACCACTAAAAATTAAAAATAGAACCAAAAGTCATCATACTAAGAGTATATAGTGAAAAGACACTGGCATTTTGAAGCAGTAGCCATACTCCTATGTTTATTATAGCATTCTTCACAAAAGCCACGATATGGAATCAACCTATGTGTCCATCAACAGATGAATGGATTTTTTTAAATGTGATATATATACACAATGGAATAACATCCAACCGTAAAGAGGATATCTTGCCAGGTATGGTAACAACTGTAATTACATCTGTAATTCCAGCTACTTGGGAGGCTGAAGCAGGAAGACTGAAATTTTGAGGCCAATGTCAGCAAATCAGTGAGACCCTGTCTCAAAATAAAAAATAAAAGGGGCCTGCGGTTGAGGCTCAGTGGTAGAGTACTTGCCTAGCATGTGTGAGGCACTGGGTTCGATCCTCAGCACCGCATTTAAATAAATAAAAAATAAAGATCCATCAACAATAAAAACATTAAAAAATAAAAGGGCTGGGGATAGTGGCTTATTCCTGTAATCCCAGTGGCTCAAAAGGGTGAGGCAGGATTGAGAGTTCAAAGCCAGCCTCAGCAAAAGCAAGGCACTAAGCAAGTCAGTGTTTCTAAATAAAATACAAAATAGGGCTGAGGATGTGGCTCAGTGGCCAAGTGCCCCTGAGTTCAATCCCTGGTACTGCCACCGCCCCTCCATTCAGTGGTAGAATACCCCTGGGTTCAATGCTCAGTACTACAAAAAAAAAAAAAAAAAAAAAAATCCTCTCATTTGTTATAATATGGATGAAGGTAGAGGGCATTGCCAGGGCGGGTGGTCAAAGGATACAAATTCTAAGACAGGAGGAGTAAATTCAAGAGCTCTATTGTACAACATAACATAAGGCTGCCTCCTTTCTCATTTTTCTGACAAATGGGCTTATTTTGCTTCTGAACCAGTCCTTTATAGGCTAAGATGCCTATGAAGCCCTACGACATCTGCTGAAGCTTCTTGTCCTTTTTTTTTTAAATTCTTTTTAATTATTTTATTTATTTATTTTATTGTGGTGCTAAGGATTGAACCCAGTGCCTCACACATGCTAGGCAAGTGTTCTGCCAATGAACTCTAGCCCCAGCCCATCCTGCACATTTTTAACATCGGCAAAATAAAAATTGTAAGCTGGCCTCCGTCCCAACCAATCAGGATGCTGAGGTGGGAGGATCACTTGAATCCAGGACTTGGAGACCAGCCTGGGCAACATAGCCAGACCCTTTCTCTAAAAGTACATAAATAAAAACTGTAAGAATTATATCTTACATTAAAAAATACATTTACCACCATGGCAATGTCATAGCTTTAGTATTATCTGAACATACCTTGATCGTAACTTTTTTATCATCAAAACTGGTATTTTTCCCCACATGGTGATGGATTACTAAAGCAAGAAGTATTTTTTTTTTAAGTATACATAATGATGAGATTTGGTATACTGGTATACTATTACTAACATGCTTTGCTGTCAGACGCCCCCAGGATAAAAACCTCAGCTCTAATAGTTATTAATCATGTTATCTGTTACTTTTCAATATTTTAGTGTCCCTCTAAATAAAATGGTGATAATTATAGGGGTTTTTTGTTGTTTTTGTAGCTGGGATTGAACTCCTCGGGTACTTAACCACTGAGCCACAACCCTGGCACCCCCCCACACACACACCTGAGCCACATCCCCAGCCCTATTTTGTATTTTATTGTCTCAATGAGTTGCTATGCCTTTCTAAATTGCTGAGGCTGGATTTGAATTCACAATTTTCTTGCCTCAGCCTCCCAGGACACTGTGATTACAGGCTTGAGACATTACGCCTGGAATAGTTTCTACCTTTGACCTTATGTGGACTAAGTAACACATATCAAATAAAGCACTTAGAGTTGTTTCATTAAAAAGTATTTAATGAAAGTCAGCTATATCTTTTAAGATAAAGAATCCACATATCCTTTTCTCTATAATAATTAAAGAAACTCTTTTTGGCTCTTTTCTCTCTCAATAAAAAATAGGCTTCTTAGCCTTGCTCTTTTTTATTATGCTAATTAATAAACTACAAAGCATCACCTTTATAGGCAATTCTAGATTATCAACAATTTACAAAAGGAGGAAATGTGGATGTATAAAAGCAAATGTAGCAAAATACTTGTAAATTTTGGACCTAGACCATGAAGAAAAATACAGAATTACAACAGAAGAGTAACAGTTAAATTAACTGTATCAAGCACTGTCTAAGGGGTTTTAATAGTTGTGTTGTTTTGTGATGCTGGGGATAGCACTCGGCCTCACTCATGGAAAGCAACTGCTCTACCCCAGACCTCCTTAAAGGATTCTGAAGAGGATCTAAGGACAGTGGGGATCTAGAATGGCTGCTGTTTCTAAAATGAAATTAGAACAGAGATTACTTGGGAGATTGAGTGCTAGCCTGAGTGTTAATATGAGGTGGCTGGAATTGGTATTTCCATTTACAAAATAAAAATACCAAAGCAACCCCTGGCCCAAGTCAGAGCTGCTTCTCACACAGCCCGAATTTTCCCATTCTTCCTTGAATGTGTATGTAATTTTCCTAAATAAACCTCTGTCTATTCCCCACGCCCCGCAGGGAAGAAAAAAAAAAAAAAGCAAAGCAACTTGGAGCATCATTCATAAGAAAGTCATAATCTTTAAAGAGGAAGTATTTATGGTATTTAACAACTGTGGTATGACCTAGGGGGAAATAATGTTTTCTATTAATTTTGCTTTAGCTGTCTCTTCTTTCCTAGCCTGATCATGACAAGGCTGCCGCTCTCCCGGCGCCTCCGCCCCGCCCCCGTCCGTTCGGATTTTGCTCTTTCCCAGAAGATGGAAGCAAAATATCCCATGCCTGGAAAAAATTAAAATTACATTTAATAAAGGAAGAAACACAAATTAATATTGACGTTACGTTTTTATATATGCAACAACAATAACTTCCTCCATTCCCTCCGCTTTCCTAAAGATCATCAGGATTGGGGAAAAGAGATGAGAATCGAAACATCGAGCCTTTCTTGGAGCCCGGCCTCGGAGCCCTGACTCAGGACCCAACTCCGCAGCCACTGCTACTCCCACCATCTTCCACACACATAAGCCGCTGGAAATGAAGACGTAAAGCCGACCCTTCCCAGGATCAGTGAGAAAGGCCACAGTACACCAAAGCTAAACTGCAATCTGTTCACCGACTTCCTAGGGAGGGAACGCCGTAACGCGGTGCTCTGGAGCTGTTCAGCAGTTCTCAGGATTGCGTCTTTTTGTTTGGGGGCCTTCACTCTGGGGTTCAGATACCTAACTCGGAGCCATTCCTGTGGGCCCAGAAGCTGGAGGGCAGAGGGCGCAGTAGGGCACCTGGTGCCCAGGCAGCGTCACAAAACTCCAGAGTCACTGCAAACCCGACTCACACAGAAGTCCGCGCCGCCCCCGCGCCGCCCCCGCGCCCATTTCCTCAGTGCACGCGACCAACTCACCTCTCCCAGCCGACAGCAGCAGGGAAGCCGGAAGGAAACCGCATGGGGGCTTGTGGGAAATGTAGTCCGCCGTGGGGAAAGTCCGGCTCCAGTCCAACCAGCTGCACAGAGTGCGCAAGCGTGGGGGCGGGAGGTGGGGACCAGAGCAGCTGCTGGGGGTCGGGAAGAACTGGCTGGCCGGCCAGTGGAAGGACCAGGAGCTCTCCACCAGCTTAAGAGTTTTTATTGTTTCCCTACCAGGGTTAGAAAAATCCATGCTACCTGCAGACACCTAACATATGTACTGTGTGTTCAGTATATATACTCCAGCGGGGCGGGCCTATATATCAGACACCCCAATAAAAATACCCGCAAAGAGCGGGGGCTGTAGCTCAGTGGCAAAGCACTTGCCTAGCATGCATGAGGCACTGGGTTCGATCCTCAGCACCACATAAAAATTAAAGTAAAGAAAGGCATTCTGTCCATCTGCAACTACAAAAAAAAAAAAAGAAAAGAAAAGAAAATAAAGAAAGAAAAAAGAAAAAAATCTCGCAAAGTCCAGCAAAATCTACACGACTTGAAAGGTTGCTCCAGCTCCCTGAAGCTCTCAATGTCGCCCTGCCTCAGCCCCTTTTGCACTCTAGCACTCTGTCGCACACTACCATTGTGAGAGTTCCTGTTCTGTTATGTTAAAATGGTTGACATTGCCATTTTATTATTTGTTTGTTTGTTTGTTTGGGGATGTCTGGGGTCGAGCCTCAGGGTCTTTCCACCAAGCAACGCTCTCGGTGCTAGATATTTATTCTTACTGATTTTTAAAATCATAGTTCTGCTAGTTACCTAAAGAGGCTGTGTATTTTCCGTTTCGTTCTGTCAGGTTTTGCTAAAATATTTTCAAGCTCTCTTAAGCACATATATTTAGAATTGTTGTCTTCCTGATGAGGAGATTTGAAAAGTGAACATTAGAGAGAATGTGTTGCAAGATCTTTCTCAGAGGAGTTATTGAGCTTGTCCTGGCCTGGGTTCCTTGGGAAAAGACACAGATGAGCCCGCCAGGGAGTACATGATGGCATCCTCCCCATCCTAGATTGTTAATATATTATTAATAGATAGAAGATTGAGTTCTTAAGAATATAGTTTTAGCAGATCCTTGAAAATATCTAGGCTGATCTTATTAAGCCTCGATTTGCAAACAATAAATGTGAAGTAGGAGATAAAAGAAAATTCTGAGCTCCTTAAGATTTTTGTGAAAATATTTTAAAATTCAAAACAAATTACTATTTACATGTTTATGATTGAGCTTATGTGAGGAAAGCAACAATCCATCCAAATAAAACAAAAATAATAAAAAGGGGCTGGGGTTGTAACTCAGAGTGTGAGGCACTGGGTTTGATCCTCAGCACCATATAAAGATAAGTAAATTAATTAAAGGTTTTAAAAAAACTTAATAAAAAGAATTTAGTTTCTCCATATTTCCTTTTTTTAAATTTTTTTAGTTGTTGGTGGACCTTTATTTATTTATATGTGATGCTGACAATAGAACCTAATGCCTCACATATGCTAGGCAAGTGTTCTACCACTGAGCTATGACCCCAGACCCTTCCTTTTTGTTTTGACTAAATTTTGAGGCATTTTGAAACTCTATAACGAATTTAAAATTTTTTTTAAATTTTTTATTATTTTAAAATATTTTTAACTGTAGTTGACACAATACCTTTATTTTACTTATTTATTTTATATATGGTGCTGAGGATGGAACCCAGGGCCTAGCACGTGCTATGCGAGCACTCTACCACTGAGCCACAACCCCAGCCCTCATACTGAATTATTTACACCCCTCACTAAGGAGCCTTGACATTTTTTTTTCTTTTTTTATGGGCTGGGGATTGAATTTTTTTAATGTTTTCTTTTCTTTTTTTTTAATTTTGAGACAGAATCTCACTAAATTGCTCAGGCTGGCCCACCTCCCGAGTAGCTGGGATTACAGGTGTGTGCCACCATGCCCAGTTAAGAACTGAATTTCTTTAAAAGATATAGGGCTTTTAGATTTCAATTTGTATAAATTCTCTTAAGTTGTATTCTCAGGAAATTTGTTCTTTTCATTTATATTGAATTTATTATAATGTTTATGATGACCTTTGAATGTCTATAATTCATGTATTCATTCTCTCTCTCTCTCCTCCCTCCCTCCCCTCCCCTCTCTCAGAGGGTCATGCCATGTTGCCCTGGCTGGTCTCCAACTCCTGGGCCCAAGGGATCCTCCTGAGTACCTGGGATTATGGGTTCCCCTCACTGTGCTTGGCTATTTTTTCTCTCTCCATTAACTTGCTCAGATTTTTACTAATTTTATTAACATTTTTAAGAAACTAAATTATAATTTTCTCTGTTGTATACTTGTATATGTCTTCTTCAGTATGTCATCTCTGCTCTTCAGCCTTTCATTCTACTTGAGTAATTTATTCTTTGTAGCTTCTTAGCAAACAGGTCTAATTGATTTAAAATATTTTAATCTAAGCTTCCAAAATCCATAATTTTTCTTCTAAAGTACTACTTTAACTATATTCCACAAATTTTGATGTGTTGTCATTATTGTTTAGTGGGTATTTTTTGTTGTTATATTTGACATATTTTTCTTTAGTTGTTCTATCAAGTCCGGAGAGTTTTTGAAATGATTTTTGAAATTTAGAGAAAAAAATTATTGAAGATTTGAAAAACAATTCCTAAAAGATTGACTTTTCCAGAAAACTATAGCTACACAATGCATTGTCTGTCATGTTAAAACGTGCATAAGACACAAATACAAAAGCCATGAAACAAGCCACCATTCTTCAACAATTTGAGCAAAGATATAATACCTAAGGAATAATATGGATGACTTGCAAAGGATGGGTCTTTACTTTAAGCACTATTTAAAAAGGGGGGGGAGCAAAAATGAATGAGTGTATTCAGTTATACACACTGAATTGAAACTTTGGCACTAGGAATCAGAACATTTTATCATAGAGCATTAACATATTATAAAAGTGTATAGTGTCAAAGGAATAGAACCACCAGCATTCAAGAGCAGCTTTTGGGGTTGGGGTTGTGGCTCAGTGGTAGAGCACGCGCCTAGCATGTGCAAGGCCCTGGGTTCCATACTCAGCACCACATAGAAGTAAATAAATAAATAAAATAAAGTTATTGTATCTATCCATAACTGAAAATATTTTAAAAATTCAAACAGTTAAAAAAATTCTATTATACACCAACATCTTCAAAGGACTGCCGCAGTCTGGCTGGGCACAAATCACAAGCCACTAAAGCAGGAACAAACTTTATTTCTGAACTCCACCAGCACACTCCACACACACTCCCCGGGAATTCTCCCCAACGCCATGCATGCATCTCCTCCAGGAACCACCAACCGGAAATCCCTCCTCCAGCACTTCCCCAACCAATGGGAACTCTCCAGGAATCCCCAGGAGAACTCCAAAGTAGCAGGCCGAGTTGGGCAGTAAAGATCTAATATACAACCGAATCAATCCAGCATCATCTTAATGGCTTGCCTCTCAACCAATACTATTGGCAAAATGCCAGGGGCCATTCTGACTTGGCTGTGGCTCTCAGCAAAGGATCAAGAACAAAAATGTGTTTACATAGATCCAGACACAAGTGAATGAAGAGCATCTCCTCACCCTGCTTTCCCATGGTACTCAGGAGGGGCTACTTCATAATCGCTGGCACTACACAAAGTTGCAGAATTCTTTGTCAGGTACTTGAGGAAATCGTGAGAATATTTCAGTAATAAAGCAAGGCTCTTCTCATCCAGAGGTGTATAGGCCAATATCGCTCCAATTCCTACAAATAATCTCAGTAGATGTGGCGCTCCATATACCTGAGACATGGGTGCATCAGGATGACCTACAAGAATTTCAGCATGGTGTGGTCTCTTGAATTTGTAGAGCAGTGGGGTGCCCATTGAAGTATTCTTTTAGTCCTGCCACAATTCATTAATAACATACTTATTATCTATTTCCTCGAGATTTCTTATAAATTGTATAATATCTAGAATAGAATCCACAATCTTCTTTGCAGGAAGATAAAGGAGCTATTTTGTCTGGTAATTAAGTCCCAGTCATCAACAAGCTGTGGTTTTAGCTCTTCAGGAATCTTTACTTTAGCTTCAACTCTGTTCATAAATGTTTCTTCATTTTCAACAGTAGGATCTACCCGGGGCCCTTTTCTTCCAAGGAGGCTGAGGTGTCGCACTAGTTATTGCCACCACTCCATTTCCAGGTGTTTTCTGTTTTTTCTTTTTTGTTTTCACCTCAACGTTTTCTGTTATAGACTAGATGTATTCTTTCCTGGAACCCCTCTTTCACCTCCCCCATGCATACTGCCCCCATTGGCTTTTGGGGGTTCTCGCTGTTTCTGCAGATCGGTGTCCATGTACCTGAGTACTCTGTTCACTGGAACCCATTCATCCCAATTTTTACTCCAACCGCTGTAATGTATAAAGTATTTCACTTGTTTGTCCTTTATGGCAACCGTAACACACTATGCTTCACAAAGAGGCCCATGAAAGCACCCTACTCGCTCACCCTCCTGGCATTTCAGCTTCGGGTCCTGCTTGAGCGCAGTTTATAAGTGACTCATCGCTGCCTCCTTCTCCCACCACTGGTGGCTACTGCTCCCTACTCTACCTGACCCAATTTCGCGTCAGAGGGGAGGTCAGGCACTGTAAGCTCCACGTCTTGGATCCAATTTGGAGTTTTGAAATTTCAAACCACTATTGTAGATTCATCTGTTTCTCCCTTTAGTTTGTTCAGTTTTTGCTTCATGTTATTTTGAATATTTATTACTTGGTGCATACACACTTGTGTGTCTTTTTAATGAATTGACCCTGCTGTCATTCCTTTTATCTCTTAATACCAATTTTGTCTAATACTAATACAACCAGGCCAGTTTTCTTGTACTTACTATTTGGATGGCATATCTTATTCCATCTTTTTTCCTTGAACTTATTTGTTATTTTACATTTAAAATGCATCTCTTGGGGGCTGGGGAGGTATATAGCTCAGTGGTAGAGTGCTTTCCTCTTATGCACAATGCCCTGGGTTCAATCCCCAGCACCACACACACTCTGTCACACACACACAAACAACAACAACAACAACAAAACATCTCTTGCAGGCAGCATGTGGTTGAGTTTGACTTTAAAAAAAAAAGCCAGTATGACAATCTCTGGACCATTCACATTGATTATTAACTTGTCTGGGTTCATGTTTGCTTTTTTGTTGATTTCTATTTGTTCCATTTTAAAATCCACTACTTCTGCTTTCCTGCCTTTTTTGAGGGGGTTAATCATTTTTTTCTAATACATTTTTTGTATTTGCTTTTCAGCTATATTTCTATGTATCTATTGTAGGAATTACAATAGACATTCTTATTTAACAGAGTCTGCTTGGAATTAATATTGTATCACTTGAGTATATGAAGTTTTCTTAATTAGCTACGTACTTACTGGCTGCTTGCTTCCTATATTTTCATAGAGATTGGGAATCTTTTTTTGTGGATGTTGGTGATTTTTAGAGAGGGTCTAAGTTTCTTTGGGCCTAACTTGGAATCATCCTGCCTCAGTCTCCAGTCACTGGGATTACAAATGTGTGTCACCATGCCAGGCTTGAGGATTTTGTCTTTAATATTCAGTATTGTTAGAGGCTGGAACATTCTGTGGCACACTGTGTAGGCATGCATTGTACGTAAGCACTTTGTACACATTTATTCTTTGGTGAATCTGCTAGGTATGTAGTGATATCTCACTGTGGTTGTAATTTTTCTGTTTCCTTGATAAAAAAAACTTGAGCACCTTTTTGTTTGAAGTGCTTATTTGCTGCCCCCCCCCATTTCCTGTTTGATTATGCTATTTACTGATCTATAGGGGTTCTTTATATATTCTGGATGAATCTTTATTCAAATACATTATGAACATTCTCCCACTTTGTGTTTTGTTCTTCCATATTCTTAATCGTGTCTTTTGATAAAATTAGATTCTTAAACTTAATATGGTAAAATTTACCACTTTTTTATTTCTGGTTAGTGCTTTCTTAGCTCTTTTAAGTAATCTTTGGGGGCTGGGATTGTGGCTCAGTGACTATGTGCTTGCCTCGTACATGTGAGGCCCTGGGTTCAATCCTCAGCACCACATAAAAAGAAAATTAAAGTTTTCTTCAAAATGCCCTCATTTGCTATTAAAAAAAAATCTTTGCAACCTCAGTTCTATAAAGATATTGTTTTCCTCTAAAGAATTTGTTTTACTTTTTAGAATTTGATCATTTATATATCTGGAATTGTTTGTGTGCAGTGTGAAGTAAGAGTCAAGAGTAATTTTTTGCCAGGCACAGTGGTGCACACCTGTAATCCCAGCTGCGCAGGAGGCCAAGACAGGAGGATCACAAGTTTGAGACCAGTTTCAGCAACTTAGCAAGGACCTATCCAAAACAAACAAACAAACAACAACAACAACAAAACGGGGGGGGGGGTGTGCTGGGGATGTGGCTCAGTGGTTAAATGCCCCTAGGTTCAATCCTGGTAATTAAAAAAAAAAAGTAATTTTTCATTCATACAGATATGTGACTGACCCAATGCTCCTTATTGAAAAGACCACAATTTCCCAACTACATTGCAGAGGAACTTTTATTATAAATCAGATGACCACACATATATATGTTGGGCCTTTTTTAGGGTTCTTTATTTTGATCCATTGTTCTATTTTTTCATTCTTAAGTAATACCATACTGCCTTAATGACCACAGATCACATTAACAAATTCAAGGAGAAAAACATTATTGTGCCAAAATGGCATCTGACAATATTCCATTGGCATTTCTAATAACAAAAGATAAGTAGGGTCTTCAAGAAACAACTGAGACAAACAGTCTATTTAAATCTAGAGTAAATATTACACTGATTTCCATTAAATTTGGAGAAATAATTAGATCCTGCTATCATCAATAATCCCACTAAACCTTTTCTGAAGGTTCTATTATAAGATTAATAAAATAATTACTATACATATTCAGGAAAAACCAAAATTATATCTATTTGCAGTTAACAAAACTGTTTAGAAAACTAAGAGTCTAGTAAAACATAAAATTAAAAAGATTAGGCCTTTGAAAATCTTTTGTGATAATGAAAACTATTATTGCATTCATATTTAAATTTTAACTTGACAAAATCACCATAAATACAGATATAAGCCACAACCTGGAAGACAGTTAAATCCATCACTTATAACACATAAAGGATTACTATCTGGATAAGAATATCACAAATCTTACATAAATTTTTTTTAAATGGGCAAGATGTGAATTAGCAAGTTGTTTAGTCATGAAACAGATGTTTACAGATGCTTAACTCATTATTAACCAAGAAAATATTAAAACTCATACCAGACATGGATATAAGGAATTGCTTCACTAGTTAAAGGCATTATAAATTTACCATAATGCTACTCTACTTCTGTAGCAATATCCGACAAGGGTGAAAGTGAACATAAATTGTGAGAGAGTAATCTCGCTTTTTGATAAGCACCTTAGAAAAACTCTCATGTATAGCAAGAAACACAGAGATATTCAGTAAGGCATTTTTCACAGTGAAAAATTGTATATAATAAAAATATTTATCCATAAAAGGTTTAAATACAGACAGGGCCTGTGGGTTTTCTATTCCATTGAAAAAGCACCTTGTATAGACTGTGGAGTGCTGGATATCAAACCTCAGGGCCACATGCATGTTGAGCAAGGGATCTACCATTGAGTCATGCCTTTAATCCCCTAAAAAAGCACCATTTTAAGTTTTAAAAATGCAAGCAGCTGGGTACATAGCATGTTAGTTGCTTTCTTTGCCATACAACCATAGATCTGCCATAATGGAGACATTTCAATCCTTGAAGTACTTCTGATAATGGCAACATCTGCCCAAGAACATCTGGAATAGGTAAGGGGAATACAAATTCTATATGAAGTCTGAGATGTTTTTGGTTTAGATAAAATGAAACAGTCTGTGAATATTTTTATAGGCACTTAATGTGATTCCTACCCCAAAAAATATGGCATGCAGAGCTCCTATGCTTGTTTTAACAAAAACATTTTCTTCAAATACTATTAAGTACTATATTTTCAGAAAATTTCAGTAAATGTGCTGACTCCAAGAAACCTCTGTTAACATGAAATTGTTACAGATTGTTACAAATTGTTATCAAACATCCATCTATAAGCAAAAACTAATTTTACTCTTATATCAGTAATTTTACTTAAGATATTATTTTTTGTGTTAATTTTACTCTTTATGAATACAAACAATTTGAAATCCTGAGTGGTAAAGATGTATTATTCCAGATGATGAATGATTGATTAGCGACAACTGCCCAATCAGAGCAAAATAGACTTGGGAAGTACAAATCTTAAGGTATATCTTTAGTGGCATCAGAGATTTGGTTGAAAATAAACAGTTGTGACAATATTCATTTTAATTTGTAGAAGGTGCTATAGGTTGAATGTGCACCCCAAAGTTCATGTGTTGGAAAATTTTATCCCTAGTGGGACACTCATAAGAGGTGGGACCTGGAAAAGATGAATATGTCATAAGGCCTCTGTCTTTATGAATGGATTAATGTCATCATTTTGGAAGTGGGTTATTTATTGCAGAAATGGGTTCCTCTTCTTTCTCTCCCCACCCCCAGTACTGGGGATTGAACCCAGAGCTTTGCATAGCTAGGCAAATGTTTTGCCACTGAGGCCTCTACCTTCATGAGAGGATTATCATGAGAATGGGTTTGTTATAGAAGTGGGTTTCTTATTATAAAAGGGAAAGCTTACCCCTCTTGCTCTCTCTTATCCTCAATTTTTCCTTCCACCATGGGATGACAGAATACAAAGGCTCTCATTAGATGCCAGCCCCTCAAATCTTGGCCTTTTCAACCTCCAGTACCATTAGCCAATAAATTCCTATTCATTGCAAATTACAGTCCGCAGTATTCTCTTATAGCAGCACAAAGCAGACTAGGCCAGAGGCAATAAATTTTCATGTTGAATTTCTATGTTTTCATGTGTATAAATTGCTGAGGCTGGTCTTGAACTTGCGAGGAGGTCTCCTTGCTGGAATTACAAGTGTGAGCAAAGTTGATGAAATTCAGATAAATGAAAATAGTTAGGAAAATAATGTAAAAAATCATTGGAGGGTTGGGGTTGTAACTTATTTGGTAGAGTGTTCGCCTAGCATGTGTAAGGCACTGGGTTCAATCCTCAGCAACACATTAAAAATAAATAAATAAAGGGATTATATCTGTTGCCTACAACTGAAAAAAAAAATGGAGCTGGGTCATGTCTTTTGTCCAACATTGTTAAATTGTTCAAGTTAGAAATAAAAAAAATCTAGGGTCTGGGGATATAGCTCAGTTGGTAGAGTGCTTGCTTCACATGCACAAGGCCCTGGGTTCAATCCCCAGCATCTCTCTCTTGCATGCACACATACACACACACACACACAAAAAAAAACCCTAAAAAAATCTAAATACATAATTAAATCACAAGAGGTCAGAGCCCTATGTATTTCTGGCAAGATTATTTTATATTTTATAATTATTTTAATAGATATTGCATTCAATTTACTGATACTTTACTAATGTGTGCATGTATCTTAAGTAAAATAGGTCCAGATTTTTCTTTTGAGATGGTATTCTCATCTTTTTTTGTTGTTGATAAATACTTATTTTTATTGTAATTGGATACAATACCTTTATTTTATGTGATGTTGAGGATCGAACCCAGGGCCTCACATGTGCTAGGTGAGTGAGTGCTCTACCAATGAGCTACAACCCCAGCCCTCTCATCTATTTTTATTATTAGGATATTTGCATTATAGAATAATCTAGAATTTTATTAGAGATTATTAGTTCTTTAAAATATTTTATTACCTGAAAAACTATTAATTCTTTCTTTTTAAAAAATAAGATCATAACCACATTTCATTTTTTCCTTTGTCTATAGATCTGTTCAGGGTATCTGTAATATCTTGAGCCAATTTTGATAATTTAGGTTTCTTAGGATAACTCATTCTCTGTTTGTTTATACATATGCAACTATATGTATGTATTAACATATAACTTAAATTTTTAAAATCTCCTTGATATATTTAGCTATTTCACCTTTCTCATACATAAAGCTGTAACTGATTCATCTTCCCCCCCTCAATAACTGCCAATTCTGTATTAATGATCTCTGCAAAGAGAACACCCTTGGTTAGAGTCTACTACTTTATTAACTGTTCCATTTATTTCTTTTATCATATAAATTACTTCCTACTACTTATTGTATCCATTAGCTTTTCATCACTGTGACGACATACCTGAGGAAATCAACTTAAAGGAGGAAAGACTTAGTGTGGTTCATGGTTTCAGCTGGGTAGCTCCATTGTTTCTGAGCCTGTAGTGAAGGGAACATTAGTGAAGCAAAGCTTCTTACCTCATGGCAGCAGTGAAGAACAGAGAGAGAGGCCAGGACAATATTTACCCTTCAAGGACATGCCACCAGTCACCTCCTTCCTCCAATTGAGCCCCACCTCCTAAAGTTTCTGCCATCTCCCAATACTGCCACCAGCTAGGGATCAAGTCTTCAACACATGAGCCTTTGGGGAACATTCCAGATATGCACGGTAACAAACACCTTAGTGTTTTTTTTCTTCTTATTTTAATCTTCTAGCTTAAGTTAATGCTAATTTTTTTCCATTACATATCAACTGCCTGTTACGTGACAGTCATTATAGGTATTGGGAAAAGCATGGTGAACAAGACAAACACTGGTTCCTCAATCCAGGTTTTCTAAATGCATTGTTTGGGGTTTTCTGTTAGTAGAGCTTTGGTGATTTCCCACAAATTTTCATTTGTAGGCAACACATTATTATTCATCTCTAAATATTTTAACACTTCAGATTTGATTCTCTACCTTAAAATTTTTATTATGGAAATTTTCATATATACGTAAAGATAGTAAAAATAGCACAATGAACCCTGTGTGTCTATTATCAAGATACAACACAGCAACATTTTGCCAATCTTGTTTCATCTATTCCTCCCACATATTTTCAGTTACTTACAGGGATACTTTCTAAGGAATGCATCTTTAGGTGATTTCATTGTTATGCAAACATCACAGAGTCTACTTTGACACCTAAGATGGGTAATGACATTACATTAATATCATGACATTAATGTCATTAATGACATTACATTAATGACATTAAGATAATAGGTGATAATATCTTATGGGATCAATGTTGAACATATGGTCAACTTTTTTTTTTTTTTTTTTTTGGGTAGATGGACAGAACGCCTTTATTTTATTTGTTTGTTTTCATGTGGTGCTAAGGATCGAACCAAGTGCCTCACACATGCAAGGCAAGTGCTCTGCCACTGAGCTACAGCCCCAGCCCTGTGGCCCTGTTGACTGAAAAATCATTATGTGATGCATGACTACATTTTAAAGCAAATCATAGGGCATGATATAATTTTACCCTTCAATACTTCAGTATAGATCTCTAGCACATACTTATACACACACCCATAATGCCAACATAATGCCTAACATAATGAACAATTGCTTAGTATCATTTAATACATAATCCATGGTTATATTTACACAATATATAAAAACATTGTCACTAATTTGTCCAAATCAAGGTTGGACTGACTGCATTTTCTGTACCCTTAATGCTCTGGCAGTTCAGGCCTTGATTTTGAAGATTCCTCCCAAGACTAGCTAATGCATAGATAGCAATAGTTCCCCTGTGAGTAGATCTTTGATATACAAACCAAACAATCCAGAGCCCATATTCCCAACCATGCTTTATCAAACTCACACACCGCATCAAAACTCCCCAGCCCTAAATTACCCTAGGGCCAGGTACTAGGAATCACCTCACAACTAGGAATCACCTCTGTAGCACAGAATCTGCCAAAATTATTCAAACTATCCACCCTAAAAGTACTCAAGTGTCTAGCCTGCCTTACCCATTCCTTCCCCCCAAATAAAACAATAAACAACAAATCACTAATAAAGGCCTTGGGGTATGCATTATCCTCTCTATTTCTGCTTTTACCCAAGTCTTTGGGTGCTTCCCCATATGGCCCTACATGCAAGCCATGCCTCCTGATAGATAGTAGAATACCTATTTTTAGGGATCTGAGAATAAACTTTCTTCAAGACAATCATTTTTATGTCTATCACCATGCGTAATTAAAATAAATCCCAAGTACATCAAAATGTTAAAACACAAGGATACCAATATGTTCCATACACTGTACTTGATATGTCTATTATTCTTGACATAGGATTATGGTTCTTTTTGTTCTTGATATGTATTTTGGTTAAGAAATTAAACCATTAATTCAGGAAACTTTTCAAATTGTGGATTTCATTATTTGCTTCTTTGTGTCACTAATCTGTTCCTTAGTGTTCCTTAGTTCTCCATGTTTCCTGTAAAGGGGTAATTAGATTCAGAGACTAAGTTGTAATTCTGAAGCAAATTTTTAGCGGGGAAGGGGGGGGGAATATTTCACAGGAGATACTTTGTATATTGATTGTATCACATATAGAAGGGCATAGCCTGGCTGATCTAATTTAGAAATGTTAATGTAGATTAGTGGGTGCTGCCATTCAGCACCACCAATCATAAGCTTTATATCAATCCTTCACCCATGGTCTTGTATCCATGGATATCTCCACCAAGACCCATTATTTTATAAATAAGCATAATTTTCAAATTCTATCACTCCTTTTGATCTTTACCAGCTAGAATTTTCTATTAATAATCTATCCTTCACAACTTTTGGTTGTTTTGAAATGCAGTTCATAAAGGCAAGGAAAGATTTAAATGTTCCAGTCTTTCCCTTTATTTATCAATAATGCACTAGTGTGCTCCATAGTTGATCAATGCATTTGGTTAGCAAAAAAAGCAATCAAAGGCTACAGTGGTCTAAAAAAAAAAAAAAAAAAAAAAAAAGGACACAGAAGCCAATATGAAGGGAGTCGAACTAGCCTATGTAGAATAATCCAGCATTTTTTTTTAAAGTTACAAAGGAGTGACTAAACAAACAATGTAGGCAGGCGTGGTGGCACACAACTGTAAATCAGTACTTGGGAGACTGGGGATCACTTGAGTTCAGCGGTTTGGACACCAGCCTGGGGAACATGGCAAAAAACTCATCTCCAAGGGGGCAAAAAATGCAGGAGTTATAATACAGGTAAGTTTAAATTTACAAATAGCTTTCTTTTATGTAATCTTTTGTTAGCGTTTAATTAAATATTAACTAGGACTTGAGAATGTAGATTGTAGAATACCTGTTTTATTATAAACTGGAAAATAATTTCTCACTTTCAGTATTTTAACAAGAATAAGGGATAAATGTTGGTAGAAGGCATATTTATATTCATTACTTCTATAGTCTTTTTTTTTTTTTTTGTACCAGGGATTGAACCTAAGAGTGCTTAACCACTAAGCATAGTCTTTCAAAAGAATTCTCAAAAGATTAATATTAAGAATAAAATAAATAAAACAAAATATAGTGGCTTAAAACAACAACCAATTTTTAAATTCTTTTATGATTGTGTGCATCAGGAGTTGGGCAGGGACTTAACTGGTTGAGTCTTCTATTCCACATGGTGTCAGCTGAGGTTACTCAGTGGTGATCAGCTGGTCTAGAGGATCAAAAACTCTTTCAATCAAATATCTGGTGTCTTAAAGGGCATGTCTGGAAGACTGGATTCATCAGATATCTCTCCCTGTATATATAATCTCAGGGCTTCTCCATTTGCTAGACTTTGTTACATGACAGTTCAGAGCTTGAGAAAGTGTTTTAAGAGATGAAGTAACCTTACCAGTAAAGCATGGGCCCAGAAACTGGCACAGAAGTACTTCTACTATGTTCTACTGGACAAAGCAGTCACAGATTCTGCCCATATTCAAGGGAGGAAATATGGACTCCATCTGTTAATGGGAACAATGTCAAGAATTTGCAGCCATTTTTGCTACAGTTTTATACCATCATTTTACAAAGAAGAAATTACCGCACAGAGCAGTTGTGTCTTCTTCAATATAACCAAAAGAAAAAAGTGATGGGATAGAGATAAGTATCTTTCCCACATTGTTATATTAATAGGATCAGTTACAACAAATGTGCTGAAATGATGGTAGAACATATCAACATAGCCTTTTAATGGTATAAAACCCCTTACGCCAAGTCAGCTACATGTAGGAAGCAAAAGAGATTATTACATTCATAGAATGTTCTACAACATAGGACTGATAAGATTTTCTTACACTTTTACATTATGAATTTTCAGATGATGGGTAAGGTGTGAATGTTGTCTAAAGGCCTTCTTACATTCTTTACATTCATAGGGTTTCTCACCAGAATGAATTCTCAAATGTTGGATAAGAGATGAATTGAGTCTAAAGGCCTTCCTACATTCCTTACACTCAAAGGGTTTTTCACCAGTGTGAATGCTTTGATGTAGAGTAAGTTTTTGGCGCAATCTAAAGGCTTTCCCACATTCCTTACATTTATAGGGTTTCTCACCAATATGAATACTCTGATGTTGTGTAAGTTGTGAAAGTAGTCTAAAGGCTTTTCCACATTCCTTACAATCATAGGGTTTAACACCAATATGAATACTCTGATGTGAAATAAGTTGTGAGTAACGACTAAAGGCCTTCCAGCATTCCTTACATTCGTAAGGTTTTTCACCAGTATGAATTCTGTGATGGAGAATAAGATGATAACCACGACTAAAGGTTTTTCCACATTCCTTACACTCATAGGGTTTCTCACCAGTATGAATTCTCTGATGGAGTGTTAGTTGCTGTCTTACTCTAAAAGCCTTCCCACATTCCTTACATTCATAGGGTTTCTCACCAGTATGAAGTTTGTGATGTACTCTAAGTCCAGAGCCACACAAAAAGTCCTTCCCACATTCTTTACATTCATACAGTCTGTCAGCAATATTAAGCTTTTGATGTCGAGTAAGGTGTGCATACTGTCTAAAGGCCTTCCCACATTCTTTACATACATAGGGTTTCTCACCAGTATGAATCCTCTGATGGAGAGTAAGTTGTCCTCGAACTCTGAAGGCTTTCCCACATTCTTTACATTCATAGGGCTTCTCACCAATATGAATTTTCTGATGTACTCGAAGATCTGGGCCACACATGAAAGCTTCCCCACAATCCTTGCATTCATAAAGTTTTTCTCCAGAATGAAGTCTCTGATGTCGAGTAAGGTGTGCAGTTTGTCTGAAGGTCATCCCACATTCCTTACATTCATAGGGTTTTTCACCAGTATGAATTCTGTGATGAAAAGTAAGTTGCTGGCGTACTTTAAAAGCCTTCCCACATTCCTTACATTCATAGGGTTTGTCCACTAATTGAATTCTCTGACGTGGAGTCACAGATGTGCGCTTTTGATAAGAGGATACTTTTTCAGATGTGAGTTTCACTTGACTGAAGTATCCCTCTTGAGGTCCCTCTTGTCCTTCAAATTTTCTTTTGGATTCCCAATCATTTTTTAAAATGAGGCCCTTAAAGCCATGGTTTTTAATTCTTTCCATTAGCTTCCACTGGGATAAATTTATTTCATAAATGTCATTTTCTGAAGATAACTTCTTGGTCTCACACCTGGTCTCCAAATCTAAAAGAAAAAATAAAAGAAGTAAAATTTTGGGGCTGGGACTGTGGCTGGGTAGAGTGCTCACCTAGCAAGGGTGAGGCACTAGGTTCGATCCTCAGCACTATATAAAAATAAATAAAAATAAAGGCATTGTGTCTAACTACAACTTAAAAAAAAAGTATTAAAAAAAAAGAAGTAAAGTTTCGACAGTGGAAACAAGACAATGAAAGTAATACTCAAACTCTAAATAATATGGGGGAAAAAAAGCAAAAAAAGGCAAAAAGGAACACCAGGAAAATGAGAGTTCATATAAGACAGGAAGACTAATGGTTAAGCATTTAAGCCAGTGATTTTCAAGTTGAGGTGTGAATCAGAATTCCTGGGGAGCTTATTACAAATACTAAGGCTTAAATATCACCCAAACCATGTGCATCAGATTCTATATTCCCAGAGGAATATTTACTATTCTCCACACAATGATTTTGAAAGAGATGAAACATTAGGAATCCATACTTAATTTTTTCTTTTCAAAAATGTCTCTTTATTCTTAAAATTAAAATCAAGCTCATTTGGTTAACAAGGCCATTTACCTACATATATCTTAAACCTCTGTTCCCTTTATTGCTACCTGGAAAGGCCTCCTTTTGGATATTACGACATCTCCCAACTTCCTTTCATCTCTCAGGAATTTGCACAGTCTGCTCCATCTCCCACAAATTTCCTGATGGAGCTCTTTGCATGGCTGGCTCCTTCTCATCCTAAGCTCTTAGATTAAAAGTCACTTCCTTTGAGATCTACCCTACTTAGTACCTAAATCTATGCTGTCATTCTTTATTTCTTGCCTTTATAACATATCCTACTTTTTAACACATATACTCACTAAATTTTGTCTTCTACATGATGGGCAATTGCTTTACCAGTGGCCTTTAGCCCCAGTCCTATTTTGCTTATTTTTACCCATAAATCTCCTCAAGAGCAGAGACAATCCTAATTTACTCTCTATTAAGTAATGAATCCATAACATATAATTTTACTCATTTAATTCCCATAGTTATATAGTTATTCTGAATAGATCTGTCTGCCCCTAGTCTCTTATACTTTCCTGTAATGATTAAATTCTCTCTTCATTCATTCAAGCTTGCTCAGCTAAATAAATAAATGGAAGAAGGTGGCTGCATATGTCCATATCTATGCAGTATTCTCTGTACTACCCATTTATTTATTCCTTCACATGGCTATGTGTTATTTTTTGTCTCTACATTATGGCAAAGTTACTGAAGAATTTTATTTACTCAATTTCCCCTTAAGTTTATTACTCATTCATTTCACAAATATTCAACTGGTTTCCTTCTTTCCTCCTCTTACTCAGGTCTCTTCCTTTCTCTCATAGGCAAGACTATTTCAATATTTTCTGGAAACATATTGTGATTTTTAAAAAATATTTATTTTTTACTTGTAGTTGGGCACAATACCTTTATTTTATTTATTTTTCCTCTGGTGCTGAGGATCAAACCCAGGGCTTCGCATGTGCTAGGCAAGTGCTTATTGCTGAGCCACAGTCTCGGCCCCATATTAGTGATTTTTTGAGACAGGAAATCATATTTATACCTTATTGCAGTTCTTATGAAATTCTTAGGCAAGAAATAAAAAATGTAACTTACCCATATGCACAACTATATTATGACCAATTTACCTATAAACATAATTATATTGCCTTCTTCCCCTCTACCCCAGCCTAAGGACATTGTTACCACAATCATGCCTCTCTCCATTGCATTAATTTCCTCTATGGAATCATTCGCATGAGCACACAAATATGCTCTAATATATCATCAAATACACTGCTTATAATCCATATCCTCAATGTTAACTATCAACATATTTCTTAGCACCACAACTTTAGCCTTTAACTAAGTACATTTACAAAATTTTTTTTTAGTTGTGGACGGACACAATACCTTTATTTATTATTTTATGTGGTGCTAAGACTCGAACCCAGTGCCTCACATGTGCCAGGCAAGCATTCTATCACTGAGCCACAACTCCACCTCCATAACTAAGTACATTTTAAGTATAAGTACAATGTATTTCCCAGTAAGTATCAGATAAATAAACTCTCTAGACAAAATTCTAGTTTTAGAGACAATTACACAAAGAAGGTGCTTCAGGTCCATTTTAAAAACAATTGAGATTCTTTGAGAAAATTGCATTAGTCTTTCTTTTTATCACCGATTCCTGTTGGTCTTTTGTTGGTAATCCATTTCTGTCAGTATCCTTACAGTCAACTTTGCCTTTCTTTTTTAATCATTGGATTCTTGTACAGCTTTTCTAGGCCATATGCAACTAACAAAAGGGGAAATCATAGGATATACGTATAGCTCCAGAGAAGAATAGGAATGACAATACAAGGAATGCACACCACTGTCCCTGGCTCAAGCTCCTAAACCAAGAGGATGAAGTGGCCAAGGCAAAGTCCACATTTGGGAGGGAGGGAGGAGGACAAGCTGTCGCCCAGCCAATAAGCACCTCCAAACAGGATGACAAAGGATTCTGTGTCAGCTTGAGGACACAGGGCAGATGCCCAGAACCAGAGCCTGGCAGCTGGGGCCACAAACTCAAAGAGTCATCTTACATACATTCTCCTAACTGCCTCCCCTATATCTCTCTCATCAACTCACCCCAATCAGGTTTTCATCCTGAAATAAATATTTACAATGTCATCAGTATTCTCCATCTTACTAGAACCTGAGATCATTTCTCAGTTCTCACTCTACTCCCTCCAACTTGAAACATTTACTACTGTTTTTATTTATTTTCTCTCAGTGAGTGGATATTCCTTCTCTGTCTCCTCTGTTGTCTCTGCCTTCAAAGGTCTAAGTTCTCCCATGAATCAGTTCTTAGGATTCTTTTTATATCCTTTCTTCTATCTGCATGCCTTCCTAAGTGATCACATCCAGATCCATGGATTTAATTCTAATCATAAAAGTAAAGATGCTCAAACATATATCCAGCTGTAATCTTTCCTGGCTCCAGATGGACATTTTCAATGGCCTATTCAACATCTCAAACTGAAAAAGTTAAAATATACAAAATCAGAAACTGTCAATGTCAACCTTTCAAGCTGCTTTTCCTTATCTTCCCCTCTTAGATAAATTGTGCTTCTGTTCAACCAGCTTTTTTTAAGCAAATACCTCATCCTCCCTCTCCACTTTTTGATACTGGGGATTGAGTCAGGGGTACTTAACCACTGAACCACATCCCCAGTCCCCTTTTTTTAAATATTTATTTTTAAATTATAGATGGACACAATATCTTTATTTTATGTGGTGCTGAGGATGGAACCCAATGCCTCATGTATGCTAAGTGAGCACTCTACCACTGAGCCACAACCCCAGCCCCCCCAGTCCCCTTTTTTATATTTTATTTTGAGACAGGGTCTTGCTCAGTTGCTTAGGGCCTCACTAAATTGATGAAGCTGGCTTTGAACTCATGATCTCCCTGCTTCAGCATCCCGAGTCGCTGGGATTACAGGTTGTGTGCCATCCTGTCCGGCCCTTTCTCTCCACTCTTTACCACTTACTCCACTTGTAATCTCAGTAACATATTCTTTATGGTTTTTTCAGGGTTCTTTTTTTTGGGGGGGTGGTATGGGAGATTGAACCCAGGGGCGCCTAACCAATGAGGCACATCCCCAGCCCTTTTTTGTATTTTATTTAGAGACATGGTCTCACTGAGTTGCTAAGCGTCTCACCATTGCTGAAGCTGGCTTTGAACTTGAGATCCTCCTGCCTCAGTCTCCAGAGCTGCTTGGACTACAGGCATGGCCACCACACCTGGCTTTTTCATGGTTCTAAAGATTGAATCTAAAATACTCCATCACTGAACTATATTCCCAGCTCTTTTTATTTTTTATTTTGACAGAGTCTTGCTAAATTACCCCAGTTAGCCTCAATCTTGCAATCTTCCTGTCTCAGATTCCCATGTAGCTGGGATTCAGACATGCACCCACATGCCCAACTCAATAGCATATTCAGCGCATATATATATATATACGCTATAGATGGACACAATACCTTTATTTTATTTATTTTTATGTGGTGCTGAGGATCAAACTTGGTGCCTCATGTGTGCTAGGGAAGTGCTTTACCACTGAACTACAACTGCAGCCCTGGCAGTACCTTCTACATGCTATGACTCCAACAGTTTTCTTTTTCTTGGTGGGGTGAGTACACCAAAGATTGAACTTAGGGCACTCAACTGAGCTACATCCCCAGCCCTATTTTGTATTTTTTATTTAGAGATAATGTCTCACTGAGTTGCTTAGCACCTCGCTTTTGCTGAGGCTGGCTTTGAACTCAGGATCCTACTGCCTCAGCCTCCCAAGCTGCTGGGATTATAGGCATGCACCACCGCACCTGGTTTCTAACAGCTTCTTAGTACTTCTTATCATTGTCAGTCTTATCCAAACAATCATTATGTCTAGTCTGAACAACTGAAACTGGCTCTATACTGATCCCTCAGGCTTTTGCACTCAATCAGAGGGATCATTTTATAATACAAACAATGGCTTCTGATTTTTCTGATTACATTATCTGATCTTTTCCTAACACAGACTTCATATCTCTTGTTCCTTCTCCTTCTCTGACCATAATGGCCTTCATGTCATTCCTCAAACACAAAAGGCTGACTTCTTACCCAGACCATTTCCATCTGCTCAGAATAATCTTCTCTCAGAAAATTTTATGGTTTAAACCCTTACTTTATGTCTTTCCTCAAATATCAGCTCCTCAAAAAAATCTTCTCTCGGGGCTGGGATTGTGGCTCAGCAGTAGAGCACTCGCCTAGCACGGGCAAGGGCCGGATTTGATCCCCAGCACCACATAAAAATAAAGGTATTGTGTTGTGTCCATCTACACCTAAAAAATAAATATTAAAAAAAAACTTCTCTCGTTTGTCCAATTTTCCATATGCATGCAATACTTCAATAAAACTTACTTAAAAGTAGAATAGAAAAGGAAAGGGGAAGGAAAGAAAAAAGAATGTACTCATTTAAGATGTCTAACTGTGAGACAATTATTATTTGGGCTAAATGCTTTCTGACTAAACTGATAACTTATTCATTTGGAATCTCTGCATTTCATTTTCTTTGAATGTTAATACTTGTAAATGTCATTTTACTACCTGAATTTGAATAAGAAAATAGGTTAGGATGGGGGGGCAGGGTACCTTTTTTTTTGGTAGAAAGGAAATAATGTAGGCACTAAAATTATCTTATTATTACAAAACTAGAGCTATTAGCCTAAAATGATTCTTCTCAGTCAGACCTGAATATACAAAGAACAAAATACATAATATGTATCTCTACACAAAATTTTAAGGAATCTTTTTTAACAAAAGGTATAATGAGAGATGAAAATAGGTCAGAAGTAGAAGCTAAACCAAGGGATTATTGTCCCTATAGTCTACTACATTTAAGTTTCTTCTTAACTTGAAGGTAGATAAATTAAAGAAAATAGGAATGATATTCTGTAATTTGGGGTCTATCTTCTAGTGTAATTCACATGAAACTTTAGTTGCTGATAAAACATAATATTATAACAGCAAGCATATATATTTTCACAAATTAATGAGAAAAGTTGAAAAAAAGTTTTCTTCATCATAACTAAAATAGCCTTTCATGGGGCTGGGGCTGAAGCACAGTAAAGCGCTTGCCTAACATGTGTGAGGAACCAGGTTCGATCCTCAGTACCACATAAAAATTAACAAATAAAATAAAGGCATTCTGTCCATCTACAACTAGAAAAAAAAATTAAATAAAATAGCCTTTCATCCCATATCATTCTCTATCCTCTTACTCTGCTTACTTTTCTTCATAGCACTCTCTTTATAGCTGACATTTCTTTTTTTCCTCTCTTTTTTTTTTTATTAGTTGTTCAAAACATTACAAAGCTCTTGACATATCATATTTCATACATTTGATTCAAGTGGCTTATGCTGACATTATATTTCTATTTAATTACAGTAACTAGGTTTCTCTTATTACCAGGTAAACTCCACAGGGACAAGGACTTTATTGGTTTTGTTTACCACAGTATTGACAGCACCTATAATAGTGCCCAGCCCAGAGGTTATCTATCTATCCACCTACCCATCCATTAATGTAAAAGAAGAAAGAAACAGAATCAAAATATAGAATGGCTGGGGCTGGGGATGTGGCTCAAGTGGTAGCGCGCTCGCCTGGCATGCGTGCGGCCCGGGTTCGATCCTCAGCACCACATACAAAGATGTTGTGTCCGCCGAAAACTAAAAAATAAATATTAAAAAATTTTCTCTCTCTATATATATATCTCTCTCTAAATATATATATATATATATATATATATATATAGAATGGCTGTCAGTAATGAGGACACAAGAAAAACTGAAAGAACAGAAAAAGAGTGGTAAGTGGATAAAGAAGTAGTTCTTTTAGTATCCCCAGCTTTAACCTTAATTTTCTCCCCAGGTCTCAGGCATTTTTCCTTGGGCATTAGACATTTAAAGAGGGCTTTAAACAACATCACAAAAGGGTGTGCCTCCTTCTCATCCAGAGGGTTGCCTTCCCACAGTAACTGGTCCTCACTTACCTGAATATTGTCTTTTTCCTTTCTTCATAATTTTCCAGGGATCTTTTCCTTGTTCCAATAAGGAAATCACATCTGGTTTAGAAATGAAGCACCCTGCTTAGAAGAAAGGAAACAAAGTGATATGGAAATAAAACGTAAGTTCAAAATTACTTTGGTTTATCCTGGTTAAATGTGTAATAAACTACAGGTTAAAATGGTAATTGGTGGGGGACTGGGAATATAGGTTAGTTGGTAGTGTGCTTCCCTTGCATGCACAAGAGCCTGATTCACAAGCTGAGGCTGTAGCTCAGTGGCAGAACAGCTGCCTAGCATGTGTGAAGCACTGGGTTCGATCCTTAGCACCATATACAAATAAAATAAAGGCTTCTATCCATCTACAACTACAAAATTTTTTTTTTTAAAAATCACATTAATCCAGACGCAGTGTTGCATACCTGTAATACCAGTGGCTCAGGAGGCTGAGACAGGAGGATCATAAGTTCAAAGACAGCCTCAGCAATTTAGCGAGGCATTAAGCAACTCAGTGAGATCCTGTCTCTAATAAATTACACAAATAGGGCTGAGGATCTGGCTCAGTAGTCAAGTGCCCCTGAGTTCACCCCCCGGTATCAAAACAAAAAAATTCACATTAAGGTTACACAATTAATAGAGATTACAGAGGGAGGGAAAAGATCTTTTAAAAATCTGTATTCATATACATCTTCTTCTTCAGAGGAAATCAATGGCTGAGATCATAGATCACACGGTTCAAATCCTGCCTCTTTCACCTCCCAGCTGTGTGACCCTGGGCATGTTACTTCTACATTTCTTTTTCCTTATTATAAATTAGTGTTATTGGGGCTGGAGTTGTGGCTCGCCTAGTGCATGGGAGGCCCTGGGTTCAATCCTCAGCACCACATAAAATAAGTGAGTAAATAAAGGTATTGTGTCCAACTACAACAAAAATAAATATTTAAATAAAATAAATTAGTGTTAATACCACCTCCTTACAGACTTATTGTGAATTTTACATGAATATATACTTATACCTAAATATTAGTCATCAGTTATTGTTATTTTACTGAGAAGAAAACAAGAAGCTTCCTAGGAGACATTAATTGTGATTTATTAGGATATTCATACAACATTAATTGCAAAGTTCTTAGATTTTTAATTTTCGGTCATAAAAGTAGGTAAAACTGAATGTTTATTTACAAAAGGAATGAGTTATCTTGAATTGTAAATAAATCTTTTTTTTAAAGACAGAGAGAGAGAGAGAGAGAGAATTTTTTTAATATTTATTTCTTAGTTTTCAGTGGATACAACATCTTTGTTTGTATGTGGTGCTGAGGATCGAACCCGGGCCACAGCATGCCAGGCGAGAGTGCTACTGCTTGAGCCACATCCCCGGCCCCTGTAAATAAATCTTGGTAATCCAATTTACCACTATGTAAATTATGTTTTCTTTTGATAGAGAAAAATCAAGACACAAGGTCTAGTTATTCTTCTTACAGGTATATAAATAAAATATCTAAAGCAATTCTGAGTTCAAAAACAAAGTGAAATATTTTCGTTGACACTGATAAGTCTATAAATCACCTAGATTTGAAGGACAGGGAAGCCAAGCATAGCATATTCCTGTAATCTCAGTCTCTTGGGAGGCTGAGGAAGGAGGATCACAAGTGTCAGCCCTGCCTGGGCAACAGAAAACCCTGTCTCAAAACATAGAGAGAGCTGGGGATCAGGGCTCGGGCTGTGGCTCAGTGGTAGAGTGCTTGCCTAGCAGTATGAGGCCCTGGGTTTGATCCTCAGCACCACACAGAAATAAATAGATAAAATAAAGGTATTGTGCCCATCTACACGTAAAAAAATTTTTTTAATTAAAAAAACAAAAATGATAGGGAAGATGAATATACTTAATGAAGATGCTCACTTCCAATGAAATAAAGCTGAAACCTTTCCTTTAAAAACAGGGAGGAGGGCTGGGGATGTGGCTCAAGCGGTAGTGCGCTCACCTGGCATGTGTGTGGCCCAGGTTCGATCCTCAGCACCACATACAAAACAAAGATGTTGTGTCCGCCGAAAACTAAAAAATAAATATTAAAATTCTCTCTCTCTCTCTAAAAAAAAAAAAACAGGGAGGAGGGCTGGGGTTTTGGCTCAGTGGTAGAGCACTTGCCTATCATGCCAGGCACTGGGTTCAATTCTCAACATCAATTATAAATAAATGAATAAAATAAAGACCCATCAACAACTAAAAATTAAATTAAAATTTTAAATTAAAAAAACAGAAGAAATTCAGTTATTTTTTTTAAGATGGACACAATATCCTTATTTATTTATTTTTATGTAGTGCTGATGATTGAACACAGTGCTTCACGTGAGCGAGGCAAGAACTCTACCACTGAGCTATAACCCTAGCCCCAAGTTAGTTTCTTGAAAGATAGTCTTCTCTTTTTTTTTTTTTTTTTTTTGGTACTAGGGTTTAAACCCAGAGATTAAATCTGAGCCTTATGCATGTTAGACAAGTGCTCTGCCTCTGAGATACAGCCCAACTCTTTTTTGTTTTATTTTGAGGCAGATTCTTGCTAATTTGCTGAGGCTGGCCTCAAACTTAAGATTTTTGCCTCAGCCTCTCAAGTCATCAGGCATGCACCACTACATCCAGCTTGAAAGATAATTCTTGAAATTTTCAGAGGAAAAAGCTGATGTTAACAGAAGACACTTAATATAAAGGTAGAGAACCTTACCTAGTGAGATAAAGTTGCTATAGTTTTCCAGCATCACATCTTTGTATAAGTCCCTCTGTTCCAAGTCCAAGTATTCCCACTCTTCCTGAGAGAAGACTATGGATACATCACTGAACATCACTGATCCCTGAAATGACAAACATTGTTTGTCATATAATTGATACGAAAAAAAAATCTTGCAGGAAATGGAATATGATGGCGAGGAAAGAGCCTTGAAAGCTGGAAAGTTGTTAATACACCCAGTTCGGAAATGAGTGTGCCTGAAGCGGAGTACCTACCTGGTCCTGAAGAATCCTGTTGCTACTACAAGGCTGGGGTTATAGCTCATTGGTAGAGCACATAAACAAATAAATAAAGGTATTTTTAAAAAATCCTGTTGCTACAGATAAGCCTCTTACACACTGGTTTACCTCAATAATCTAAACAGGTGTGTGTGGGGGGTTTCCTATTAAATGATACCCGAGCCTCAAGTAAATGTTATACTGTATATAAATAAAGCAACTGCCTGTTATATGTCTGCATCATAAGTTCTCAAAAACATGAGTTCTTCTATCCCCCCTCCTTAAATAACAGATTAAAAACAAAAACAAAAAACCTCTCTATTCTCTGCCTTAGAAAAGGGATCTGTAATCCCAGAGGCTTGGAAGGCTGAGCAGGAGATCATGAGTTCAAAGCCAGATTCAGCAACTTAGCGAGGTCCTAAGCAATTGAACAAGACCCTGTCTCAAAGTGAAATAAAAAAAGGACTGGAAGGCTGGGTGCAGTGGCGCATGCCTGTAATCCCAGTGGCTCAGGAGGCTAAAGCACAAAGATTGAGAGTTCAAAGCCAGCTTCAAAAAAGCAAGGTTCTAAGCAACTTAGTGAGATAGGGCTGGGGATGTGGCTCAGTGGTTGAGAGCCCCTGAGTTCAATCCCTGGTACCAAAATAAATAAATAAAAATAAAAATGGCTGGAAATGTAGCTCAGTGGTTAAGCACCCTGGGATCAATCTCCAGTACAAAAAAGAAAAAGAAAAGGTTCTGAGTCCAGTTAAAGAATTTCTTCTGTTTATATTCAAAATCAGAATATATGACAATTATTAATAATTTTTCCTTGTTACAATTTTTTTTCTTTTTTAACCAGGGATTGAACTCTCGTGGGGCATTTAACCATGGCACCACATCCCCAGCTTTATTTTATTTTATTTTTTATTTTGACAGTGTCCTGCTAAGTTACTTAGGGCCTTGCTAAATTGCTGAGGCTGCCTTTGAACTTGTGATTCTCCTGCCTCCTGCCTTAGTCTCCTGAGCTACTGGGATTACACCATGCCTGGCATGACAGATTGGGTACTGGGGATTTAATGCAGGGGCCCTTTATAGCTGAGTCACATACCCAGCCCCTTTTTATTTTTTATTTATTTTTTAAATATTTATTTTTTTAGTTTGAGGTGGACACAATATCTTTCATTTATTTGTATGTGGTGTTGAGGATCGAACTCAGCACCCCGCACATGCCAGGTTAGCGCACTACCACTTGAACCACATCCCCAATCCTTATTTTTTATTTTAACACAGGGTCTCACTAAGTTGTGGAATCCTTGCTAAGTTGCTGAGGCTAGGCTTGAACTCACGATCCTCCTGTCTCAGCCTCCCTTGCTGCTGGCATTACAGGTGTGTGCCACTGTGCCTGGCCATTAGTGTGCAACTCTTTTTTTTAATATTTATTTTTTAGTTGTAAGTGGACACAATATCTTTATTTTTTTAATATGGTACTGAGAATTGAACCCAGTGTCTCGTGCATACTAGGCAAGCACTTTACCACTGAGCCACAACCCCAGCCCCTAGTGTGCCTCCCCACATACTGAGGATGAAGCCAAACAACAGCAAATCTTATATACTTGGAAAACTCAAGAATAGAAAAGTTCATAATTTTCCTACAAGTGGTTAAATGGACCTATCTTCTCTCATCAACTCAGAAGGGATGGTAAAATATCTCCTGTGAGCAACTTCATTTCTGTGTCATCACAGCTTTTAGCAGAAGACTTGACACATATAGGAGATACTAAAGGATTTGTTCGATGAATACACAATGATTGGGAAAAGAGGTTTCATAGCATTGTGATATTTAGCTTCATCCCTCACTGAATTTAGAACTAGGAGAAAGTTCCTGGATGTAGCTTTGATAGGCAGGAAGTTTCAGAAAAGAAATGTTCACAGGATCTGAACATTATAATATTTCCAGAAAGAGAAATAAGCAGTAACTTACCCGGGCCATGATTTAGTAATTCAAGAAATGGTTAAGTCCTCCTTGGGGTTTGTTTGCCAGGGGAAGTAGAATCCACAGAGGCCAGAACTAGGGGGAGGAAAACAAGGCCATGAGCTGAGATACACCCTAGAACTCCCCAAATGATGTGAGTTACTATGACCTTTTCCCTCTTCTGATCTCTCCATCACACACAGATATATACTTACAAGGAGAACTGAGAAAGTCTAGATAAATCTAATCCCTCTTAAATTTCATGGCTGATAAGGGGCCATATGATCTAAACCAGAGTCTCCTTCAAAGTCTGACAAATATCTGCTTGGATTCACTAGATATAAAAAGAGAAATTCAGTAATAATAATAACAACAACAAAAGCTGACAAAATCTGACAAATAAGAAGATGGAAAAAAATCAGCATTTCCTTACAATATTTCCTTTACCTCTAGATGTCGAGGCTGGACAGTGGCATTTACAAATCCTTTTAGGATCCAGATTTGGAGGAAAGATTGTAACTGAGAAGAAAAAGTTGAAATGATCTAAAAATGAGGTCAGGGTGGATCATAATGAAGGGGAAAAATCTTAACTTTCTTAGTTTTTAACAGGTCTTTGGAAGACTAAGGATGCCCACCAGGCTGAGATGGTTTAATTAGTTGGCAATGCAAAGTTATAGGTCTTGTTGCTTCTTCATTCAAAAGACTTGGGCTCATGTCTTGAAGTACTAAACATCTAATCATCTTTATTATCCCTATTTTTTGACTACACAGGCACATACATACACACACACACGTGTGTGTGTGTGAGTGTGTGTGTATGTATGTATGTGTGTGTGTGTGTGTGTGTATATATATATATATATATATATATATATAATTTTTTTTTTTTTGGTACTAGGAATTGAACTCAGAGGCTCTCAATCACTGAGTCACACCCCCGCCTTGTTTTGTATTCTATTTAGAGACAGGGTTTCACTGAGTTGCTTTAGCACCTTGCTTTTTGCTGAGGATGGCTTTGAAGTCACAATCCTACTGCCTCTGCCTCCTGAGCTTCTAGGATTACAGGCATGCACCACTATACCTGGCATATTATTTTATTAATTGATACACAAAACTTGCAAATTGTATATATCAATGAGGTACCATGTTATGTTTTGATATATGTTTGCTTTACACAATGGTTAAAACATATTAATCATATTTGTCTTTTAAGTATACATCATTTCTTCATGGTGAAAACTTTTAAAATCCTTTTTTTATCTTTTTGAAATCTACAGTACATTATTGTTATCTAGAATCACACCAGAACTTCTGCTCCTATCTAACTGTAACTCAGAGCCCATTAGTCAATATCTTCCTGTCCCTTCCCACTCCCAATCTTCTAGTGACCACCTCTGTATTCTCAATTTTATGAGATCAGCTTTTTAAAATGCCATGTGTGTAAGATCATGCAAGTAATCTTTCTGTGCACGGATTATTTCATTTAATATATGATCTCCAGTTCCATCCATGTTGTTGCAAGTGAGAGGATTTAAATTTTTATGGTTGAATAGTATTTCATTGTGCATATGTATGTATTATTTACCCATTTATTAGATGATGGATATTTAGATTGACTTTATATCTTGGCTATGGTAAATAATGCTGCAATGAACATGGGAGCACGAGTGTTTCTATGACATACTAATTTCATTTCCTTTGGATATACACCCTCTGGTAGGAATACTGGATCATATGGTTGTTCTATTTTTAATTATTTGAGGAACCTCCAAAATGTTTTCCATAATGTCTGCACTCTTTTACATTCCCATCAGCAATGTGCAAGGATTCCCTTTTTTCCATATCCTTACTCACCAACATTTGTTACTTTTAGTATTTTTTTATAGTAGCCATGCTTACTGGGGTGAGGTGATATTTCATGGTGACTTTGCATTTCCCTGATGATTAGTGCATTATCCTTCTTCTGAGTTTTGCAGTCTCTAGGATTACAAACTCAAGAAAAAATTTCCTTTTAAAAATTTTTTTTGTTATCAACAAGCCTTTATCTATTATGTGTGATGCTGAGAATCGAACCCAGTGCCTCACACGTGCTAGGCAAGTGCTCTGCCACTGAGCCACAATTCCAGCTCAAAAAAAAAAAATTTCCTTTTATATGTGTATAAACTATCCTGTATTGAGAATTAGCACTAATACTTAGAACTATAGTCTATATTGTCTCTACTTGGTATCTCTGGAGAATTGGTTTCTGGACCTCCTTGGATACCAAAATCCATGGATGCTCAATCCTTTAAATAAAGTGGTGTCATATTTGCATAGGACCTACGTACCTCCTCCTATATACTTTAAATTAATCTCAAATTACTTATAATGCCCAATACAAGATAACTGTTATGGAAGTAATTGTTATACTATATTAGTTAAGGAATAATAAAAAGAAATCAGTCCTTACATGTTTCAGGACAGATTCAATGTTTTGAATGTTTTAAATCCCAGGATGGTTGATTCTATGAATGCCTAATCTGTAGATATCAGGGGCTTACAGTTTTCTTCATGAATTTCCTCTACAAATTACCTGCTAGAAGCCATAGAAATGATGTCTCTCTATATAGGAGTAGTGGAGGGCCCCCAGTGTGACCTTGCTTGGAATCTTCAAATGTCTCCTAAATTCTGGAAAATTCTGGAAATGTGCTCTGAAGATTTTCTATCCAAAAGCCAGCTTTCATTCACAGGTCTCTGTGAAAGCAAAGTGATGAGCCCGATGATGAGAGCTTTAAATAATGAGAAGGGGATAGTCTGAAGAATGATTTCTCTCAAAGGAAGAAATAAAGAAGGACAAGCTTTTTAGGTAAGAAAGCAAGGCTTAATGTGGAGACATCCTGAAAGGATCTTACATGATGATTTAGCTTGATTTTGTTTATGTTGAAAATGAATATTCACACAGCTTTTATATTAATGATGGTGGGGATATTAAAGAGAAACAGAGAGTGAGAAAGAGTTTTGATTGAGTCATATAAGAATTAAGCCTGATGGCCATTATCACTGCAAAACTGAGGCACTGGCAGCCTAGCCTGTCAGCAGCCAGGACAACAGCTACCAAAATCCTTTGGGCTCATCCTATTTTCAATGAGAATTACCCACACTGTTTTCCTGCCTGACTTCATTTACCATTCTCTTTCTCACAACCTAGAGTGAAGAAGTATGGATTACTAGACAATAAAACATATCCACTTATCAAGAATTTCCGCTTTCCGGTCCCCTTCTTCCTCCAGGGAGAAGTCTTTTCTGCTGTCCTTTAATAAAGCCTTCTACTTTCTACTCTAAAAAAAAAAAAAAAAAAAAAGAACTTCCAACAAGGGTGGTGACAGACGCCTGTAATCCCAGTTATTTGGGAGGCTAAGGCAGGAGAATCACAAGTTCAAGTCCAGTTTGGGCAACTTAGTAAGACTCTGCCTCAAAATAAAAAATAGAAAGGACTGGGGATGCAGCTCAGTGGCAAAGTGCCATAGGGTTTCTCCTTGGTTAAAACAAAACTAAACTTCTAAGTAATGGGTGTTTTAACTGAATCTTCAGGACTGCTATTTAGTATGATATTCTTTCTAAAAATTTTTTTTTAGTTTTTGATGGACCTTTATTTGATTCATTATTCATATATGGTGCTGAGAATCAAATCCAGTGCCTCACACATAGGTAGGCAAGTGCTCTACCTTTGAGCCACAACCCCAACCCTTTAGTATGATATTCTATCCATTCAATAAATCAGAAAATTTGAAACCACTGGGAGACATTCAATTTAGAAGTGGCAAAGCTGCATTTGAAATCCTTATTTTTCTAACCAAAAGCCAGCTTTCATTCAACTCTAGCCTCTGAAACACAGAATTTCAATTCCAGTGTGAGAAGCCTGGCATGCATGATTCTCTTAAATAAAAAAAAAAAAAAATCAAATCACCAAAAGAAAGTAAATCTCACTTTAGTACTGATGCCCATATTATCAAGTATGTGAGAAAATGAACATTCTAACCAGTATGCTATAGACTTAACTTACAAGTATGTACAAGCAGTGCTTAAACCATGCAAACCCTCTGACTCAGAAATTCTATTTGGGGGATTAAAGAAAATAATTATACACATGGTCAAAGGTGTATGTAAAAGTATACTGACATTGTTTCTAATGGGAAAAAGTTGGAAAGAACCCAAATGTCCTTCAGTAGGAAATAGATTAAATAAATCATAAAGCACCTATAGAATAAAAAAGAATGGGAATACAGCTTAGCAGTACTGCACTTGTCTAGGACATGTGAGGCCCTGAGTTTGATACCCAGTCCTGCAAAAAAGCAAAAACAAAACAAAACTATTATAATTTTAAAAGATGATATATATCTTTAACTTAAATATGCTTACTACATTTTACTGAGTGAAGAATCCAGATAATAAAAGAGTTATAAGTACTGTATTTGTGTTTTGGCAGGACAAAAACATTTATGTGTATGTGTATTTACTTTAGTTCCCAATATCTACATCTACACTATGATTTCTAAGCTTGTTTACATACATTGGAGTTTTGCCTATTACAGAATGACTAACCATAACTAATGCCTTGTTTCAATGATGTTGCTTCTCATGATTTCTTGACTAATACATTTATCTTTCTTCTGAGTCATTTTAGTCATGATAGCACTCCAAAGAGCTGCTGAATTGTCTCATCCTGTTAGTCTCACTCTGCATCCATAGCTGAGCATAAAAACTTTAAGGCACAGCTGGGTGAAGCAGTGCACACCTGTAATCCCAGCAATTTGGGAGGCTGAGATGGGAGGATTTTAAGTTTGAAACCAGCCTCAGCAACTCAGTGAGACCCTGTCTAAAATAAAAAATAAAAAGAGCTGGGGTATGGCTCAATAGTTAAAAAAAAAAAAAAAAGAAATTTATCCTTATGAAATGTATGTAAAAGTAAACAAAGATGTATATGAAAGGAAGTTCATCAAAGAATAATTTATGACATCAAAAATCACCTAATGATAGACAACAGGTTGAATAAATTATGTTTTAAGATATAATAGCACATTGTGCAATTATTAATGATGATGGCTCTGGTCCATATTAACTAATGAAGAAAGATATTCCTGACAAATTACTAGGTATGATAGACTAAAAAGAATATGCGTGCGCGCACGCACACACACACACAAAAAGAATATGCACATGTCAGGAGGTGGAAAACTCTCATATATCAAAAACAGGCTTTCTTGTCAGCATTCAGGATATGAGTCTAAGCTCTGACAGTTATTTTTTGTATTTTTATTTTATTTTATTTTGTACTGGGGTTGAACCCAGGAGTGCTTAAGCACTGAGCCACATCCCCAATCCTTTTTAATATTTTATTTAGAGACAGGGTCCTGTTGAGTGGCTTAGGGCCTCACTAAATTGCTGAGGCTGGCTTTGAACTTGCAATCCTCCTGTCTCAGCCTCCCCAGCCTCTGGAATTGTGGACATGCACCACCTGAATATTCTTTTTAGATATACATCCCAGGCAGGAGGATCACGAGTTCAAAGCCAGCCTCAGCAAAAGCGGGGCACTAAGCAACTCAGTGAGACCCTCTCTCTAAATAAAATACAAAATAGGGCTGGGGATGTGGCTCAGTGATCCTGTGCCCGAGTTCAATCCCTGGTACCAAAAAAAAAAAAAATATATATATATATATATATATATATATATACACACACACACACACACACACACACATGACAATAGGGTGTATTTTCATATATTATACATACATGGAGTACAACTTCTCATCCTTGTGGTTGTACATGATGTGGAGTGATACTGGTCATGTATTTATATTAGCTCTGAGAATTTGGACATGTAACAACTTCATTGTCTGTGCTTCCTCATGGATAAATTGTCGAATAATAACTATCTACCTTATAGGATGAGATTAAGAACATAATACATGCCAAGGGTGGGAGAGCATGCCTGTCATGCCAGCTACTAAGGAGGCTAAGGAAGGAGGACAGCAAATTCAGGGTCAGCCTAGGCAACTTAGTGAGACCCTGTCTCAAAAATAAAAATTTTTAAAAAGGGCTTGGGCCGGGGATGATGGCTCACACCTGTAATCCTGATGGCTCGGATGCTGAGGCAGGAGGATCACGAGTTCAAAGAGCAACTTAGCGAGGGCCTAAGCAACTCAGTGAGACCCTGTCTCTAAATAAAATACAAGGTCCCGGAACCGCCCTGGCTCAGGGCTGCGGAGCCTGCGGAGGCTGCTTCTTGGACCCTGCTACTATCAGAGCAAACACCAAGCACTAAGCAGCCGAATTCCGGCTCCCGGAACTGAGCCCGCGGGGACTGCTTCTTGGAGCTTACACTTATAGGAGCTTACACCAAGCACAGAGCGGCCGAGTTCCGGCTCCCGGAACTTCCCTGGACCGGGGCTAGGAGACTGCGGAAACTGCGTCTCAGTCCGGGTCCTGCTGAGGGCCAGTCAGGACTCACCCGTTGCTTGGGTTGCCCGGCAAGGGGAACGAAATGCTGCCATTCGCATAGGATACCAACATGGCAGAGATCTGATGTCAGCAGAAAGCGGTGGAGGAGAGATCTTCATCAACACCAGCGGTGACATAAGCAGTTGGTCTCCTGGTAAGGGGGGTGAGGCTCAGTCACGCAAGTCTCCTCAATTTGTCCTCGAGCCAGAGGGGAGGAGCCGGGCCGCCGCCAGCCCCCGGAGCAGGCCCAGCGGCTCGCCAGCGTGGTGACCGCGTGACCCCAATTGGAGAGGGGGCGGAGCGGAGCCGCCACCCACACCTGCCAGGTGGGCAGACCCACGACCCAGTAGTACATGGGCGTGGTAGGAGGGGCAGGGCAGAGCCGCCCTTCGCGCTTGCAAGGTAAACAGACCTGTGACAGCCTGGCGGGTCAGGCCCAGTGGCCTGCCAGTGTGGTACACACGTCACCCCAACTGGAGTAGGGGCAGAGCAGATCCTTATCCCACGCCCGGATCAGGCCCTGCCGGTGTGGTGGTCACGTGACCCCAATTGGAGTGGGGGCGGAGCGGAACCGCCACCCGTGCCCGCAGGGTGAGCAGACCAGTGATCAACCTGCAGATCAGGCCCAGGGGTCCGCAGGCGTGGTAGGAGGGGCAGGGCAGATCCGCCGCCCGCGCCTTCAAGGTAGGCAGACCTACAACAGACCGGCGAATCAGGCCCAGGAGCCTGCCGGCGTGGTACAAACACCACCCTAATTGGAGTAGTGACAGAGCAGAGTCGCCTCCCTTGCCAGGAACAGGCCCAGCGTCCTGCAGGCGGGGTAGTCACGACACCCCAATTGGAGTAGGGGCAGAGCAGAGCCTCCACCCGTGCCCTAAAGGTGGGCAGATCTGCGACCGACCAGCGGGACAGGCCCAGTGGCCTGCCGGTACGACAGACACGTCACCCCATTTGGAGTAGGGGCAGAGTAGAGCTGCCGCCCGCGCCTGCAGGGTAGGCAAACCTGCAACCGACCGGCGGATCAGGCCCGATGGCCTGCCGGCGTGGTACACTCATCACCCCAATTGGAGTAGGGGCAGAACAGAGCCGCCGCCAGCTCCCATTACAGGCCCAGTGACCTGCTGGCGTGGTAGCCATGACACCCAAATTGGAATAAGGAGAGAGCAGAGCCGCCGCCCGCACCTGCAGGAAAGATACGCAAGCAGTATGAAAAGACAAGGAAAGAAAGGACCACAAGCAATGCAGGTCAACGCAACTTTAGAAGAGGTAACAGCTGCAGCAGATGGAATGTCAGATAAAGAATTCAGGATATACATGCTTCAGATGATCTGGAGTATCAAGGAAGACATTAAACAGCAAAATCAGACAATGAAAGATCACTTCAACAACGAATTATGCAAACAAATCCAGGAAGCAAAGGATCAACTATACAGGGAGATAGAGGTTATAAAAAACAAGCAATCAGAAATCCTAGAAATGCAGGAAGCAATAAACCAACTTAAAAACTCAATGGAGAATACTACCAGCAGAGTAGAACACTTAGAAGATAGAACATCAGACAATGAAGACAAAGTATTTCAACTGGAAAAGAACATAGACAGCTCAGCAAGACTGTTAAGAAACCATGAGCAGAACATCCAAGAAATATGGGATAACATTAAGAGACCAAACTTAAGAGTCACTGGGATACAGGAAGGTACAGAGCTCCAAACCAAAGGAATGAGCAGTCTATTCAATGAAATAATACGAGAAAACTTCCCAGACTTGAAGAATGAGACAGAATCCCAAATCCTAGAAGCCTACAGGACGCCGAATGTGCAAAATCATAAGAGATCCACACCTAGACACATTATAATGAAGATGCCCAACATACAGAATAAGGAGAGAATTTTAAAAGCTACAAGAGAAAGGAAGCAGATTACATTTAGGGGTAAGCCAATCAGGATAACAGCTGATCTTTCAACACAGACTCTGAAAGCTAGAAGATCCTGGAATAACATATTTCAAACACTGAAAGAAAATGGGTTCCAACCAAGAATTGTGTATCCAGCGAAATTAAGCTTCAGGATGGAGGATGAAATTAAAACCTTCCACGATAAACAAAAGTTTAAAGAATTCGCAGCTAGAAAACCATCTCTTCAAAACATCCTCGCCAAAGCATTACAGGAAGAGGAAATGGAAAATAACAATGAAAACCAACAGTGGGAGGTAGGACAGTAAGGGGGGGGGGAAATAATCAAAGAGGAAAACAAACAATGTTTAGTAACAGAAATAAACAAATATGGCTGGAAGAACAACCCATATCTCAATAATAACCCTAAATGTTAATGGCTTAAACTCACCAATTAAGAGACACAGGCTAGTAGAATGGATCACAAAACAAGACCCAACAATATGCTGCCTACAGGAGATGCATTTGATAGGAAAAGACATACATAGGCTGAAGGTGAGAGGTTGGGAAAAATCATATCACTCATATGGACTTCGGAAACAAGCAGGCGTGTCCATACTCATATCAAATAAAATAGATTTCAAGCCAAAGTTAATCAAAAGAGATAAAGAGGGACACTACATACTGCTTAAGGGAACCATACACCAACAAGACATAACAATCATAAATATTTATGCCCCAAACAATGGTGCAGCTATGTTCGTCAAACAAACTCTTCTCAAGTTCAAGAGTCTAATAGACCACCACACCATAATCATGGGAGACTTCAACACACCTCTCTCGCCACTGGACAGATCTTCCAAACAAAAGTTGAATAAGGAAACTATAGAACTCAATAACACTATTAATAACCTAGACCTAATTGACATATATAGAGTATACCACCCAAC